ATGGCTAAGCATCTCCTTTTAGGAGCATTTCTGGAGTAAAGGGGTGGAACAATACTTGGTCATGCAAAACCACTGCCCATTAGCTTACTGCAAAGCCCAACTGGTGGCTATATTATACCAAAATGAAATAAAAAATAAATTTAACAAACACCAAAATAACACAAACACCTGACTCACAGTTTCGCTAAACATGACACAATGGATTTTGAATTTAGTAGCACCATTTTTCATAAAAATATAAATACCAAGAAATATTCTTTCATGCCATTTCAAATAGCTGAAATGTAATTCATTACCAACAAACAATAGTGTTGGATATAAAATCTCCAACTCTGTTATTCAGACTACGTATTCCAAATCAGCCTTATTTAATAAACAGACATTGGTTTGACAATACTTTGTTGCCTTTGGGATACACACATATTTTTAGTTTCTGGGGAGCAGGCAGAGTTGGAAGGAGGTACTGTTTGTTACCAGTCCGGAATCCCAGCAAGAAATTCCCATGTACCACTAGATTGTGCCAAAATTTGCTTCTTTTCCTATGGTTTTCAGCACTCTCTCAGTAATTTAGCTAAGCCACTTGGGTGTCTTCTACAAAAACTGTAAACGCTCTTCATACAACAGTTTGTTACAATGACCTCAAAACTGCATTTAATTTCTCAGCTTGTGATATGCGCTCCATGATTTAATGGAATACTTTTAAAAGAAAATAGTTTATGGCCGTACCACCCCCATTTGAAAGCATTTGCAGTGTGGCATCCCCTATTTTTTTTTTTTTTTTAAATAATCACAGCGATTGAACGTTCAGCTAAAAGTTTGAAATTAATAAGATGGTACAATGTAATACTTCAGTGCTATAAAAGGAAAAGTCAATGCTCAATCATTGAAAATACAAATACATACATAACCACCACTTTTTTTTTAAATGTTGCCTCAAACCCAGTACAAGACACAAAGGAGTGAGGAAACTTCCCAAAATGGAAATCTGGGTTTCATAGCATGCTCCCTCCCTCCCCCTAACATACTATCACTTACTTTGTCAATGTTAAAGAGTGACTTTCCCAGAAAGCCATCATAGAACTATGAATTTAAAACAGATTGCCTTAAACCTTCTGCCCACAGATCACAGAGAATTTTTGCATTGATTTGGAAGGTTCTGGAATTAACCCACTTATGTTTCAAGGTGGCATTTAAAAAAACAAACAAAAAAAAACCACAACTTAGATCAATCACTTACAGATCAGCTCCATCACAACAGGGAACAGAAGTATGGTGCATAAGAGAGGAGGAGATGTATATATAATAATAATAATAATAATAATATATAGAATTTGTAATTTCAAGCCAAAAAACTGCTTGCATATTTCACATGCATCCCTCAGAGATTATATGATTATTTAATAACCCTTCAGCAGTAAAGAGGGAAAGAAAAATAGTATTCACATGTTTGCTGGTGTAAATGTGAAAATTCTGATTGCATTTTGATATAGTATCTCCATTAAAATAACACGCCCTTCCCAAAAAAATAAAACTGTTTTATATTTTTAGCATGCGACATGGCACAAGCAGGCTTCTTTCTACTCAAAATATATTTTTAAGCACACATTAAATAGTTAAGACATTTTAACTGCTTCAGCCCCAGAACAGGGTTGAGAACACCACTGTTCTTGCACATCCAAGTCATGCATTAAAATAAGTTCTGCAAATCCATTGAACTTCACAAATGAATTGGATAGTGTCAATGTTAAAGGATAAAGTTTCAAAAACACCGCTGCCTTTGTCAACTTTGTCATTGGATCCGTTTACTCACCTCCCTCCGGAGCTGCGTTACATCCGGTCTTCAGATACCCAGTCAACCCACTATATCACAGATAAGGTGTGTTTGGTGAACCGGGCAAGTTTAGGATTTGACACGCACGACCAGCTGTGGGCAAACAACATTATTTCCGGATGCTGCCATCTTAAAAAAAAATTGAAGATGGCAGCATCTCGAAAGCAGACCCGGCAGGACCAGCTCTCCATAACTAACCAAGAAAACAAGTCCCACAGTCCAATCAGAGGGCATGGATACAATGATTCTTGTGATGACAGACCCACTTTAACGTTTGATTTTGCTTCCCACTTCCCCCACCCTTTGAAGAGCCACCATTTTCAGTAAACCTTTATCAACTGTATTTAATACCACCAAAGGGGAGCTGACAAAATTTGAATGTGCGATAGTTAAGATGGAAACAAAACAAGCTGTAAAATATCGTAAGAAAAATATATTGGCCACTTTGCCTTCTACTTTGTGACTTACTGTAGGGATGCCATGTTCCGTAAATAGTCAACTGGCAACACTGACACTAGGCATTGTGTCAGTATGGATAGAGCCAGCTTTTAGAGCAAAATGTAAAAGTCTAAATGGCACTGTAGGCAGGAATTGATCATTCTAATGCATTAGAGAATGCAGGCTGTGCAGTATCTGCAGTGCAAACTTCAGAAATGGACTCAGCCAAACGGGTATTTGCCTAAATTTACGTATAGCACTGTCAAACTTATCTCATACACCGTGCATTACTGATGCAACACAGTTTTATGAGCTTTGTCATTTTATAATGAAGTAGTAAACAGAACAAACAACTAACATAATCTACACATTGTCCCAGACGTTTGGGGGCTATGAATGCCCCATTAGGTTCGACACATCCAAGCTTCCCATCGATGGGATAAGCTGCAGATGACGTAAGGGGCTAACTGGAGGTGGCAAATCACAAAAAAGTAAGGTCAACAATAGTGGCAAGCATTTTGACATGACCTAATGAAGTAGCATTGTATAAAGTGACTTGCTTATTTACACAAAATATAATATCTGATGACAGTCCTGTAAATTCAGTGGAAAATTGTTATAACTTAAAATGCAATAGTTTATTTACGGAGTTGGCCTATCTTTAAGACTTTGGAAATGAATGTAGGAGACCAGCACTCTTACACAAAAGGCTGGGTGCAGGCTTCCAAGGCCTCCTTGCAATGAGCTCAAAACCAGTGAAAAAAAATAAATCATGGAGTTGCAACAACCTAAATAAGGTGAAGGAGATGTAATTCCACCAGAGTGGAGCTGGATACTTTTCAACCTTCACATGAGTCCTTTGTCAAAGACCTCGCATTAAAGGGACACTCCACTGCCCAAATACAAAGTAAATAAAAACCAATGTTTAGCAGATATACCCCAAATGAAAACTGTCAGGCATTAAATTATGGATATATCTAAAAACAGCTTAAAAAACATACAGTTATCTTATCTGCAGCCTTTGCAAGCCCTCGTCTTCTAACCGCACCCAGGCTTTGTGAATGTGCTGCATTGGGAAGTCTGTGATTGGACAATGAGAAGTCTTTGCAAGGCAGGCTGTCTGGGCAATGGCTGCCTCTTGAGTTTGGTGCAAATAAGCCAACCAAACCTGGAAGTAACAGGGTCTGTTGTCCGCGTGAAAAAAAAACAAAACAGGGGGGCATAACCAGTATAATTTATAAAAGTGTAATTTTCTATTGAAATCTACACTATTTCCAAAATTGAAAAAAAGAAGACACTTCACACAAAGCTTTTCAGCAAGCCAACGTGCTGAAGGGGTCTGGAGTGTCCCTTTAAAGTTGAAGTGTTGCCAGCTCTACCCCACCGGTGGAATAAAATCTCATTCACCTTATTTATGGTATTGCAACTATCTTTAAGATTCCATCTCAGTAAGTGAACTCAACACAACCTTCAACCATCTTGGAAAATAGGGATTTCACAGACCTGGCTTTGCAGTCTCTGCTGGAGCAGGGGCAGAATCACCACAAGACTAACTCTATGGCCGTGCAATTCAATATATTCCAGAAATTAAGACGTTTAAAAGAAATCTGATAAGAGGTTGTTTTCTTTTAAGCACATATTTAAACGTTTGGATTGTAAATGCATAAGAAAATATACAGCAATCTATACTTCACTAGATTTAGAATATAAAATATAGATTATGGCAGTGGTCAAGCGGGTAATGCAGGTTTAGATCTTACAAAGCTTTGAGATCTATAACTATGGGTTAAAGACAAACAAACTACAAATCTTAGATTAATATATCAGAGTTGGAAATATAATTTGGGGTTTTAAATAAACCTGTACATTTTTAATTAGGAGAGGAAAATTAATTGCTAGACACTATAGCGTAATTCCCAAAACCTGGACTAGTTAAGAGCTTTTTTTTTTTTTTTGGTTAAAAAACAAAATTCCCCCCCCCACCCCTCCAAAAAATAAAAAACTCACAACCTATACATATTCTCAAAATCTGTAGAGTAACATTTTATTTATCACCTAACTATAGTTTTTTTTTTGTTTTTTGTTTTTTATGGTATATCAAGGTGGTGGGCATGATATTAGGATATATGCACACGTATGCTTCAATTATAATAAATTTAAAAATAAACTTTATCCTACACCACAACGGGAGTGCATATATACGCACCAGAATTTAATGACAAAACTTGAAATGAAATACATAAAAAATGTTTATTGTTAGGTACCCCATGTTTTTGGTGGAGAAAATTTGAGGCAACAGTTTTCTGTACGGAGGTTGGACAAGCAGAGCGACAATTCACAGCAGCTGCACATCAGGATTTAAAAAAGTAGATCACAACTGTTTTACACGATTGTTGATACAGAAATGTTCTGTAATCATTGAAAATGAGAAACACCTCCCCCATGCGGATACACTGAAGAAATACAGGTTTTTGAACCACCCTGTGAATGCTATGTATCGGTTGCCTCTGGAATGTTAATCACCACATTTTACAAGTAAGATCATGTGCAAGTTGTCACGGACTAAAGCTTTGTAAGGTACATGTGTTAAAGATATAGACACCACCTTTTAAAGAATGAGAAAGTGGGACAAGACCCAGAGCATATAACAAATAGATATATATATTTTTTTTATTCTTTCCAATGCAGTAGTTCTAGTCCCTGATCATCTGGTTCTAACAAAAGCTTTCGCTCATTTGTAGGTGATGGTCCACTGCTTGACACACGCATCAAGGGATACAGTGGTGAGTGTGTGCTCATCAAGCCAAGCCAGTCCGCTAACATGGTGTAGTCTATGGGTATCTGGAAAGAAACGGGAAAAAAAAAATAAAATAAGTCAGATAGCTGTCCAACCACCAAGTGTTTAGTCTCTAACTATTCAATTGTGGATAATTCAATTTTCTAAATTAAGATCTAGAAAAGCAGGTTTGTAAACATTTATACAATATAATGATAAACCTACTTTTATTCTCACTTGGTTGTGGCTCGTTTGGCCCCAGGGTTAAAGAAGGTGTATTCAAAATTAAAAGGTGGGCTAGAACAGCAGCAATACATCGTAAAAAATATTAAAGGAAAACTACCCCCCTATTTAACGTACATTTAAAAAAAACAAAAAACTGTAAAGTTGTCCTAGCTGCCCCCCATCTTACAAAGCTTATCCCATAGATAAGGTGTTGTTTACAGATTAAACAATGTATAGCTCCATAGTAATCTAGGTTTAAAAAAAACCCAAACAAAACAACAAATCCACAAAAGACTCAAGTTCGTAATGTTCAACCTTTCCCCCAAAGACGAGTTCCACTCATCATATAGGAGTGGAAATGCTTAACCCCTTAAGGACACATGACATGTGTGACATGTCATGATTCCCTTTTATTCCAGAAGTTTGGTCCTTAAGGGGTTAAAGGGACACTATAGACACCAGAACAAATACAGCTTATTATAAATATAGTGAGAGAAAAGGCATTGTTTACATTACAGCCTAGGAACACCTCTAGTGACCAGACGGCCACTAAAGGAACATCCTCGGGTCGTGTTGCACAGTGCCACAAGACGCTGAACTATCCTCACAGAGAAGCACTGATTCACTGCTTCTCTACGAGGAGATGCTTATTGGCCAGGGTGGCGTTTGGATACACGGAGGGCCCCACCTTCTTGGTGGAAATCACCAGCTATTGGAAAGCATTGTGATTACCTGAAATCATCAAATCTGATGAGGTCAGCCAAGGAGGCAGATCTGGGGCAGTGCCAGACATTAAGAGCTACGCGCAGCACTGAAAAGGAGAGAGTAATTCACCTTTCTAACCCAAGATAAGGGGGGCTGACCAACAGTGGTTTTAGAATTATATAGTGTCAGGAATACACATACACTATAGCCCCCCTTTAAACTTATAGCAGCAATACCATGGATGTTTTCAGTTTAAACATAGGCCAGTCCACTGTTTACTTGTGTGCTCAGGAAAGGGGAGGTCTGTACATTCCATAGCAGCTCTCTTGTGGGAGGAGGAGAGAGAGCTCATAAAAATGGACAAAAACTGTTTTCAGCTGGCTGATTGACAAGTGTTGGAGGTGGGAGTTATGCCATTATAGTTCCAGGATTACACAGTATCATCAAAATTTCACAACTGAAAAATTGAAACTTTGTAAGAGACCAGAGAACAAAGCATATTGAATATTGTTCAATATACAGATACTAATAGTTAAATGAATTGCAATGAACTTCACTTTAGTTATTTTATCTATACCTGGATTTGCACATAGATTCACAGTATCTCAAATTATAAATGAATCCCCTCCAACATATACACACAAAAATATATGTGCTTATGCAAAGGATTTATTACCTGGCATTTTCAGTCTTTCATCAGGATCACTCAAGGTCCAAACAAAAACCATCATATCCATACCACTGCTTGCAAAATGCTCATTGTCAGGCGACCAAGCCATAGACACTACTTTTGCATGGTGTCCGTAGAAATTGCCTTTTTCCTGTTGAAAAAGTAAATAGAGAGTCAGTAACAAGTTGCGAATTGCAAGCAGCATAGGTGCACACAGCAGATTAGGGTGTGCATTTTTTTTTTTAATGAAAAGGAGAATATTGATTCACCACAATAAGGGACATTTCAATTCTGACTGCTAAATTTTACTTAACTATTACCAACTGAACAACTATATATCAAACAAATATATGTCATCTAGTTATAAATAAAAAGACATAATTATCTTCCTTTTTGATGAGATAATTAGCCATTTCTATCTGGTACATAGGTCACTTAAAGCATTTTTAAAAAGCAGTGCCAACAGAATCTAAAGTTTGGTACAATAAAGTTGGCACAGACGCGTTGCCATTTATCAGCCATTACAGAACAAAATAAACACTTTAAAATTAACATACACAGACTCTTTTACAAATTTACAATCTTATTGGTGGTGTGGATTATAGAAAAAGGAGGAGAGAGAAAAAAAAAAAAGAATGAAAATGCATTAGAGCTAATTTATAGAAGGGCTACCAGTAATTTATAATTTACCAAGGATTTACAGATCACATTAATGGCTTACCATAGGGCTTACCATAATAAAATGAATGTTACTTTCACAAGTAGTTCCTAGTAATGGAATTACAATGAAATCATAATAAAATTTAATACTACTTACAGAGTGTGCCAATACAATGTGGAGAGAGAATCTACCCTTATAAAAATTAATTAGCAACAAGTCTGCTTAGAAGAAAGATTGGAATAGACATATTACAGAGAAAAGTAGAAAGCAAAATAAAGAATAGTGACTTAAACCCTTGCTACATAGATGAGAAAGAACATTCTACACGGGTGAATTTCTGATCAAGTCTATATTTCTATAGATCTGAAAATAAATAAAATTATTATCTGCGATCTTACTGCATATCCATCAGCCACGCTGAAGACTGTGATGACCTTGTTGGCATCAGAAACTGCAAGATGGGCACCATCAGGTGAATAAGCAAGACTGGTCACTGGTCCCTTTGCTGAGAGAGTCTTTCCTTCATCCTTTAGAGTATTCCCTTGAATGGAATACAGGTGGACTTTGCTATCCTGCAATGATACAGACATTTAACAAAGTAAGCACATATTGCGAAAGCAACATAATCTACATTAAATAACATTTAATTTTTCCGGTTCTGGTTTCATGGTGTGTTAATAAAAATGAGCTATGGTAAAGCTTTACAAAAAAAAAATAAAAATAAACAACAACAACAACAACATGTTCTTACAAATAAAGTAAACATAAGTAATCTAGGAAAATTTTATATCTACAACACAGCACCCAAAACTGTGCTTTTAAGGTTTGTCTTTTTTAATAGCTAAAGACTTTAAACAAGAGCAGATTAAACAAGGATTTTGTATGAACTACAGGCAGCATTTGTAGTAAATGTCTGATTTATTTTCCTCATTAATAGTGTATTTAAATTTAACAGAACAGCTCAGAGTAGCTCACATTCTGTACACATGGATTAGAATAAAAAAAAAAAATGTTCGTGTACCACAACAATTGCACACAAACTGATTATTATGAACATAATCTCCCCTGCTGTGTGATTCTGCAATGAAATGCAAAATAATTTATATAAAATTATTCTTTCAAGCTATCCTACAGGATATCACAAAACTACCCATTCAGGAACACTGAATACATGGACAATGCTTACTGCTCCTCCAACTGCAACCATTCCATTAGATTTGTGAACAGCAACCGTTTCTGGCTCGTAATCCAGGGAGTCAAGTGTGAAGACCTTTTTCTTGTCTTTAAACAGTACAATCTGTAAAGACACAGGTTTGCAATGTAATCATTCAACACCAACAAATTATTTAAGTTCAAGGTTTGAGAAAGAGGACGATGATCCCAGAAGCTGTGGACTACAACTCCCATGGAGCTCTGCTAGCCTCCCTATCATACACAGAAAAATGCATGGAGATGTGAGACATTCTCTAGTGCAGGATGTGAAAAAGATTTGTCCACATCTGAGTCACTATAAGAATGATCAAATGTGCAGATTATTGATCCTTCGGTATGATTACCTGCATGCCATTCAAATAGGCCCAAGTATTTTCAACCAACAATAAACACAAAGAATTACTTAACACATACGTCATTCTAAAAAGCCAGTTTCTGTAGTAGCGGACAAAGAAAATTGAACATATATGGTTTCATACATAGAAAAAACACTCATTAATTTCTGCACACCCCAATAATTTGCTAAAAAGTTAGCCACGGATTGTGCTTTTTATTTTTACCTGCATCGTATGTGAGAAAATATGTACAGGTGCACAACATAGCGGGACACTTATAGGGAATATTTTAGCAGCAGTTCATAGCAGTACTGCTGAGATTAGGGTTCTTTATCCCAGTAAAAGCTATAGTGTTTACTACAGCGAGTGCAAATCAGAGTCCCTGAATCAACAACTCTTTAAACATGAAACATTAAAACTGGATATTGCAAGTGTGAAAATAGAAGGTAAAAACTTAGAAGTTAGAGAAAACCTTTATTTCTGTGCAGAGAAAGGAAAAAAATCCACCCGCAATCCAACTTGAGCATGCCTCTAAACATTCCAATTGGACAAAGAGACACAGTTTTATGGGTATGAATGTGTGGTCAGGGCTATTCTAAGACATTTTAGGTGACCTACAAAAATGTAACTAAAATATAACTTGGAACAAGAACAAAGTAGCCTATGTACACAGGCTGATTTCTAATCACCTTTATTGTAGTTTAAAGACACATTACTGTAAGCATTATTGCTGTGGAAATCTGTTATACAATCGAACACACCAACAATATGGAGCAACTCAAATATAAAGCTAAGGATAGAGAAGAACAGAGTTATTTGGGCCCAAAATAAGGACAGTTTCTCCAAAATAAGTACAGTTATGAGGTATGCTTCAGCAAATCTTACCTGTCCAATGCAGACTGTTACAGTATAGCTCCCTGAGCCAACAGATAAACTCTTAGGCTGCACATCCAACTTAATGGAATCCTGAGGACTAAAGCAGAGAAAGTCAATGTAAAAGCATTTCAGAATGAAAATTGTTCAAACAGCCAGTTCTGTTAAACTCACCTATAAGCTCTGTTGACCACATTTGTATAACGCAAGGTGTCATCCATGCCACAAGAGACCAACGTGTTGGAGCCACTGTCTAGGACCATGCTTGACACTTGGTTGGAATGACCTTTTCCAGTAAAACTATCATTCTCTCCGCTATCAGCATCCCAATAATGTATAAACAGAATTAAGGAAATTGCTGAATGTTAGAGAATAAAATTACATATACCATTAGTAATTAATAAAATAAACCACAACAGGAATACCTACAACAGTTACTCCAAGCGCCATAACCTCTACAACCATCTATGATGCTAGGAGCACCCAGCTGCTATTTGCCAACAATGGGCCAAAACATTCCTTCTGGTAACTAATTGGATACTCATTCGAGAGTATGTCTGAATATTCGTATCTAAATTTAATTTAAGTGTACTTATACTGTTAAACTCTGTGATAATAACCTGCACAGGATGAACAGGGGACTGATGGACAGCACATGACATTTGAATTTTGTTAGTAGCATATTATGAGCTACATACACAGTTTCTGACAAATACACAAAATAAGATGAGAATCATGACTGATACATCTAGAAGTATGACTCCCAAAATGTTAAAAGGACACTATAGACACCAAAACAACTTTAGCTTAAAGAAGCAGTTTTTGTGTATAAATCAGGAGTCTGAAGTCTGCTCAATTCTCTCCCATTTAGAAGTTAAAACATCTTTTTTGTTAATGCAACTCCTAAATGGCAGAGAGATGTGCAGTGACTGAAGGGGCATGATCTATACACCAACACTGCTTCATTAACCCCTTAAGGACTGAGCCAAATGTACACGTTGTTTGTGCTACATGTCTGTCCAACCGTAATTCACCTCTTTCATAGTAAATGCACCCACCCTTATTATATATCATTTTATTCAGGGGAAACAGGGCTTTCATTTAATATCAAATATTTAGGTATGAAACATAATTTAATATGAAAAAAATGGGTGAAAATACGATTTTTAAATTTTTTTTTAGTTCTACATGACATTTTAACGGTCAATGTCATAATACGGTTTGCTTTTACTGCAATAAAATACACATATTTGTATTCAGTAAAGTCTCACGTGTAAAACCATACCCCCTATGTACAGGTTTTATGGCGTTTTGGGAAGTTACAGGGTCAAATATAGCACGTTACATTTGAAATTGAAATTCGCCAGATTGGTTACGCTGCCTTTGGGACTTTATAGTAGCCCAGGAATGAAATTTACACCCATAATGGCATACCATTTGCAATAGTAGACAACCCAAGGTATTGAAAATGGGGTATGTCCAGTCTTTTTTAGTAGCCATTTGGTCCAAACACTGGCCAAAGTTAGCGTTAGTATTTGTTTGTGTGAAAAATGCAAAAAAACGCCAATTTTGGCCAGTGTTTGTGACTAAATGGCTACTAAAAAAGACTGGACATACCCAGTTTGCAAGACCTTGGGTTGTCTACTATTGCAAATGGTATGCCATCATAGGGGTAATTTTCATTCTCGGGCTACCATAGGGTCTCAAAGGCACCATAACCAATCTGGCAAATTTGAATGTGAAAAAAAATGAAACGCAAGCCTTAAATTTGACGCTGTAACTTTTGAAAACACCATAAAACCTGTACATGAGGGGTACTGTTATACTCGGGAGACTTCGCTGAACACAAATATTTGTGTTTCAAAACAGTAAAAAGTATCACAGCAATAATATTGTCCGTGTAAGTGCTGTTTGTGCATGAAAAATGCAAAAAACGGCAATTTACTGGCGATATCATCGTTGTAATACATTTTACTGTTTTGAAACACTAATATTTGTGTTCAGTGAAGTGTCCCAGTAGAACAGTACCCCCGATGTACAGGTTTTATGGTGTCTTGGAAAGTTATAGGGTTAAATATAGTGCTAGCAAATTAAATTCCCATTACTTTCGGCATGCGTTGTCAGGCAGGTCCTGCTAATTGTAATTAATTAAGATACCTAATTATGTAAAAATATTACATATATATATACACACACACACACACACACGTATGTGAATCTATATGTGTATATCTATATAATTTTTTTAAAATATTTTTATTTATATATAGTGATATATACGTATATATTTATGTATGTAGATATATATTATTTTGTTCTACGTGTATTTTGATATAAATATATATTAATATCACAATACAGTTAAAACGAAATAACACACATCTATATATTTAATTAATTTAAATTTTATTTTTTAACGTATTTACATATTTAATTTTTTTGTAATATATATATATATATATATATATATATATATATATATATATATATATATATATATATATATATATATATATATATATATATATATATATATATATAAAATATTCAAATACTTGCACTCCTGTAGAGATAGATTAATGCCTGGTGCTAATAAAGCAAATAACATAAAAATAAAAATGGTAGGTAACAGCACTCTAAGGACTTCAAAAAGTAAATGGTGAAAAAAACTTAGCTTTTATTCAGCAACTGCCACACACAATCGACGTTTCAGTTCTTAATACAGAACTTTCATCAGTTGCTGAATAAAAGCTAAGTTTTTTTTCACCATTTACTTTTTGAAGTCCTTAGAGTGCTGTTACCTACCATTATATATATATATATATATTTAATCAGTAGCAGTCTAGGTGTAATTTGATTTTTATATATATATATATATATATATATATATATATATATATATATATATATATATATATATATATATATATATATATATATATATATATATATTTATTTATTTTTAATAGTAAAATACACCTAGACAGTGTGTAGGACCCCACTCTCACATGGCCGGGGGTCACCGGAGGAGAAGGATCTGCTGCGGGGGGGCTCCCTGGGAGTCCCCCCCACCGCGATCGCCGGCGACCGGGTAAGTTAACAAAAACCGGAGGGCGTACAATTACGCCCGGCGGCGTTTAGAGCCGCCTAAAATAGGGCGTAATTGTACGCCCTCCGGTCTAAAGGGGTTAAGATAAAGTTGTTTTGGTGACTACAGTGTCTCCAAGTACTGCCATGTACTGAAGTAGAGGTAGGGAAACCTTCATTACTCCAGACGTTGCGGTATATATCTCTCACAATGCTCTTATAGCTATAATGCTGGAAAAGCTTCAAGGGAGATTTAGTCCACAACATCTGGAGTACCGAAGGTTGCCTAGCCCTGTACTAAAGTATGTATAAACAGATATACAGAACTTAAAAAGATGTGCCAATAATACACAAATTAACTACAGGAGTTTGATTTCTGCTCAAGTAGCTTTTTTTTTATACAAAATAGAAAGCAATTAAATAAATAAATAAATAAACCCTCTGACAAACCTTTTGTGAGTTTAACTTTTTTTTTTTTTTTTTTAAATATATATTTTTTTAAAATATATTTCTATACCTCTATATCTATATCATAAAATAAAGTTTTGCAAATTAAATTGATCGCTCAGTGTTAATTCACTAGGTAACAAGTGAAACATTTAAAATTCAAATAGTTTAGGCAGAAATGGCTAAACTGGATTAAATAAATAGTCAACTGTACAGATCACAACAATGGCACATGCAACCTCTAGATGGTGACTAAATAGTATTCCAGCCAATACAATTCAGTTCTGTAATTCTGCCACAGAAGAAAGTTACTGATTGGCTTATCCCAGAGACTGCTAATTATTATTCCACCATTTCATTCAATTATGGTCAACTGTTCATATTTATACATTAAACAAGTAAGCACTATTTAAAGAATAGATGCCAAAGAGTAAAACACAGAAGGATATTGATATGCCCATCGTGGCTGCCTGTATAAATGGTAGATCGGCCATCACCCTTATGTACTGTCATACACTGGATCGACTTGCTGTGGCCCTGAAAGCACAAGAATGCAGGTGATTAACATTTGAACAGCTAACATAACATTTATAAAGGAGACAAATAACATAGGAATATACTTAATTTACATAGTATTTTAGTAAATATAATTTTATAAAAACTTCTTAGCAAGATGGCTTGTGATGTAAGTTTAGAATGGGTCTTGGAGACAGGAGTTTTCAAGGGGAATTAGAAACTGATGGATAGAAATACCCTGAGGGAGAGTTTGTAGGTAATATTAGTGTTGCCAAGTGTCAAGGTGTATTTAAGGTACCTGGGCAATCATACGGAATAAAAGCAGGTGGGTTAGCTCTCTTGTGTTTTGTAGAATACTTGAAGGAAATGTTTAGGAAGGGATTGGGGTAACTTTTCTGCACTTCGAATCAGGTTGCAGCTGTAGTTTTAGAAGGCTAAAGGGACACTATAGTCACCAGAACCACTACGGCTTAATGTAGTGGTTCTGGTGACTATAGCCTGTTCCGGCAGGCTTATACATTGCTGCCTAGTAACACCTGTAGTGGCAGTCACTCAAACTGCTACTATAGGTGCTTCCGATCAAGACAGATGATCTCAGCCATGGAGACAGGACCAGCCGCAGCGAAACCAGTGCAGCGAGGGAGAAAAGGGGAGTAAAACTAGCTTTTCACTGCAACCTGAGCAGTGCTGGGGACCTAAACTGCCACTATGGCACTATAGTGTTAATAATACACGTTTGTATTCATAACGCTGCAGTGTTCCTTTAATAAAAATTAAGTTTCAACATTACCTTGATTACACGTAAAGGTCTATCTGGGTTATTCTTGTCCAAATAATTGATGTAGCCAGACAGAGAAATACTCAGCAAATAATCCTTCTGCCACAAGCAGCCTAGCTGCTGATCCAGCACATCCGAGCCGAGGTGGAACGTGGTGACTGCTGAGTTAGCCGCAACATCCCAAATCTTTGCTGTTTTGTCCCCGGATGCGGAAAGTAGATGGTTGCTGTCAGCACTCCAGCTAATCTGCAATAAAAAAAAAAAAAAATTTTTTAAAAACAAACAAAACAAAAAAAACAGTTTGCAGGGCTTAAATCATTTTAACAATCTCCACACATCTGTAAAATATATTTTGTAAATGTGTCAGAGCCAGCTGACCACCGACATTGGTTTAAACCTTAGCAGAATAACAGTGATATGCAGTTTGGCTCCAATGTTACTAAAAGATTTAACTACAATGAGAAAAAAAAAAAAAATGAAAAACAAAATAATTAATAAAACATAAAAATTGAACAGCTCTTCTGAGATCACAGTTTTTAAATGTCTGTCCTGTGGACAATTATCCACTCAGCAGAAATTTGCCTTATTGCTCACTAATGCAACACAGGGAAAACACTGTGTGCCTATCAGACTGTACCAGCAGGTTTTGTTTAATCTGATCAGGTTGGCATTATATATCCACTTTAACAACAACAACTACAAAAATGAAATCTTACAATTCACTGCACAAAAGTTTATTTGCAGTCTGTGAAGAAGCTACAAAAATACGCACCATTCTGACAGAAGCTTAAAAGGACCACGCCAAATCCCTAAAGCACTTAAAATTTACACAATTAAAACAGGTCCTGTTAGCTCCAGGTTGTTATGCTCAGTGGAGCTAAACCCAAAGGCAGCAATTATGCAGAGCAACAGCCTTGCAATGACTTCTCATTGAGCTGCATTGGGAAGTCTGTGATTGGACAGCCGCAGACGGAGTTAAAAGGGAAGGCTTGCAAAGCCTGCAGACTACATAATTGCAACTTTCGCAAGCGGTTTTTAGATGATGGAAAATTATATATATATATTTTTTTTTATTTTTTTAAATTAAGGAAGTGGAGTATCCCTTTAAGTATAGACAATGGTAAGAAGGTACCAAATTACATACCATTTCCAGGAAATAAAACAAAACCACTTACTGCATAAATTCCACCATCATGCGCTTTACCATCACCAATGTTGCATACTTGTTCTCCAGTCTTGCCATCATAAAGGAAAATCTGCAGAAACAGCAGTACATTTTCAAGTTAAAATTGGTTTTAAAATGTTGAAGTGGCCTAAAAGTAAAATATTTATGCAAGTTTCCCTATTCCCTTCATAAAGAATGTTTAACAAACAGGAAACTGTGGGCAAAATTGGATTTGAAAAAAAAAAAAAAGATTTCGGCTGGTTTTATTTTGATGATTTTTAATTAAATCTGGTCTCACTCCACAGTTTGGGGAATGATGCATTATATATATCAGTAGGAGAAACATCCATTGGGAAGATGGCCAGTGCAGACATACATGCACGGTCTATATAGTTTAAAAAAAAAAAAAAAAAAAAAGGAACAAGAAAGCATTTATTTTTGTAATACTCTGGTGACCAAGCAGAATATTTTATTTAAATTTCTAACAGCTAGTCCTTTGTTTTTGTGTAAATATTCTAGGTGGTCAAAAAAAAAAAAAAAGAAGTTACTTTCCAATTTTACTACAGGATGAAAAGGGAGACTTCTACAAACTGAAGGAAAAATGCTAATTATTGAATATATTGCTAAATAAATAAATAAAATATTCTTGGTTACAATGTTTGTTTAAGCAAAATGCAAGCTAAAAATATTGCAAGCTACAGTAATTTGCAATGAAAAAAAATAAAAAATAAAAAATTATTACAAAACACAAAGACACACAAACTAAATTAGTTTCAGGATATTGTAAGTGATATGCTTGTATGTATAGGAATACAGTAAACATAGCTGCTGGGCTTTATTTAACTGTATTATACAGACTGGACTGAAAACGTGCCTGCTACGTGCGCAGATCTATTAAGCAAGGCTATCACTACTGTCTGCAGCTTTTTTGTGGATTGAATGAAGCCTCTACTCACGTGTATGAGTAGAGGAATGAAGCCGCGTGGGACAATTATTACAACCTAATGATGGTTAACTCAGTGGAACAAAGTTGGAGTGAATCCCATGGTTTTGTGAAAAGCTCTTTAACCTTATGTTGCTTCAAATCTGTACATATGCAGTTAGTCCAGATAATGTCAGGCTTAGCCGCACTCCGAACACTTCCAACGATGAGCAGGACAACCAGCAGTAACCCTTGGTTTCCTTTCCACTCTGGGTTCCGCACAGTTAGCCACCATGGTGTTCAAGGCTTACCATACACAGTTAAGCTGCGTGACAGCCACAATGCACACAGTCAAAGAATCAGTAAGTATAACACTACATGTCTGGCTGCTGTGAAGGCTGCAAGCCACTTCACTGAATTTGAAATAAAGCTGCAGTCAGTCTGCCAGTAATATCCTTACTATGTGCCTTCCTGAGAGTCCTCTCATACATGCAAGCTACTTGGCTTCCAGAACTCTAAATGCAATTAGGAGTGGAATTGTGTCCATACACTTTCTGGAATGAGTAAGTGTGGCCAAGGATACAGAATTAGGATTCCGCATTCTGCAAAAAAAAAAAACACTCACTATTTCGGTCAATTAGTAGCCAGAAATGTCCTTTAAAAATTGTTTTTACACAGTAACCCATAGCAAAATTACACCAAGACCAGGTCTATAAACCATGGCAGCGAAGGGGTTCATTTAGTCTGATTTGAATCCAGTCGATTCTACAGCTTAATGATGCATTCACCATTAAAACTGTATAAAATCTGATTATTGAATATCTAGTCCCAGTTTTTTACTAAAGTCTTGCTGAAACCCAGCGAGATAGTCTGGGTTGTGGAATCATCTTGCCGACCTGTGTGAGGTATGTGTTGCAGGCACCAACCTGTTCAAGTGCTGCAGGTTTAGGAATTTTAAATGCAAAGGTTAGCTAGTTCTGAAATGCATCATAAAAAGATCTAATGGTTACTTAGAAAACAGGAGCTCACATGCATGTTTACTATTAAATGATCAATCAGTGTTTGTGTGTTTAATAACGGATGCATTTCACAGGCAGAGATCCAATTAAAAAAAAAATAATTTCAGAAGAACTTACCTGACCATCTGCACTACATGTTGCAAATCTGTTGCCATCAGGAGAGAATCGAATGCAGTTAACAAATCTATTGTGGTCCTTAAAAAAAATAAAAAAAATTACTGAGCTGTATTTAGTATTTAAAGTCATATGTAGAAATATACTTAAATTTGTAAGGTAACAATGCTTCAGAGCTACAGCAGCTTCATATTCTGGTTTGACAGGGATCCAAACAATGTTTTATGACCATCTTGAAGAACCTTCTACTGCACAAAACACATGCATTACGCTCTTCTCAATGCCACTACAGCAAACAACTTATTTTCGACAGTTGTCTGGTGTCTGAATTGGATGTACCTATTCCAGTCATAGGATACCCAATGTTTGGATCCCAACCATCAAAGCATCCACAAATCAATCTAAGTTTTAATCTCCCCTATACACAAATACAACTCGTTTTGTTAGTTACATGGTCTCCAAGTAAAAGGTAAACTGAAAAAAATATAAAGAGTCTGAAATTATTAATTATACTGGATGTAAACATGAGAAATGAAATATCAAGCCAACACAACCAAACTAAACATTCTCTGGCTTTGCCATTTTTAGCAAACAAGGGAATCTACCATGTGCAAGTTGCCATTATTTGAACCCCTAGCTTCAAGTTAATGGATTAAATATGATAGTATGGTCCAAGCCAGTTCCCCTATTTAAAGGTAACCATGGTGCTCCAATTCTTGGTTCCCCAAACCACTTCAATTGCAGCACATGACTCAAATAGAAAAAGGTCCGGGCACACATTAGACTGTGAAAAATGTGGCAACCGCAAGCCTCTTTACTGAAGGATTATTTATCTATACAGGTCAAGGTGGAGTTTTCATTGCTGTTAATATTTTAATAAAGAGGCTTGAGGTAACCAAATTTGTCACCTTCCACATTGCATGCCTGGATCTTTTTCAATTTGAAATGTATGTGCAGCTTCGCTATTCGGCCCCAAAACATTTGTAAACACAGTGAGTGGAATATGGCAGTTTGATAAAAGCCAGGATACAAGTCTATTATATCATTAAAGGAACAGTTTAGACAACATAACCACTTCACAAAAAAATAAGTTGTTATGGTGCAAGGACATCCCTGGCACTCGCTCGCCTTAAGGGGTAAAATATTTTTCAAAACGGTTTTACCCCAAAAAGTCTTTGTTACAGCTTCTAAAAACCTATAAAACCAGAAAGCTCTTGCAGAACAGGGCAGTGGCGCTGCTGATTGCCTAACAGCAGCCAGCTGACGGCTCTTAGCCAATCCAGATTCATACAACAGGCTTGAAAAAGGTACTGGCTGTCAGCCAACCAGGGAGCCACTTCCGTTTTCTAAAAATCAGGTTCTTGCAGAATCGGGAAATTAATTTCTATGAAGTGGTTACGGTGCCCAGAGTGTTCCTTTTAAATGGTCTCTTAAACTTGTAAATCAGAGACTTCTCTTAAACAGATCACATATGGATTGATAAACTATTATCAGGATCCCTAGGTTTTTATAAGTGAGAACATTTATCAAGTCCTGGAAAATCATTTCATAAAGCATAAAACCAAGCTTAAATTGCTTCCAGCATGCATTTTGTATAAATATGGCAGGAACCTTTGCAGGTAGGTGGACATAAGTCCATCCTGAATACCTGTATCATTTGTATTTGTCTTAGAATATAAAAATAAAAAATAAATAAAAAATGAATGGGTCTCTTGGTGGTCATCCACAATATAGGTGTAAGAATGCTAGCTTCAAGTGGGTTTAAGCACTGCACATTATGCTGGGGGAGGGGGATTCACGTGCATTTAAAGTGGCTTTAAAGATATGTTTAAGTACTATTCGTATGTTAAACAATTAAACATTATGCTCCCTTATGTCCAACTCGTCTGCCTAGAAACCAAAAATCACTTGAATATCTAGAGTGGAGGTAGCAGATTTAATAAAACATTATAGGTTGCCAGATCACTTCATCTTAATAACATGGGCTAGGTGCCCGTAGTGTCCATGTCCCCCTTAGTCCAGCAATGTAAAGTATTGCAGTTTTTGAGAGGCAGGACTAAGACTGCCTCTAGTGACTGTCAGGCAGCCACAAGAGGCGCTTCCTGGATTCTAACGGAGTTTGACTCCGTTAAAGGACACTGGATGTCCTCACGCTCTGCATGAGGACAACCAACATCAGTGAAAACCTCATAGAAAAGCATTGAGGAAATACTTTCCAATACGGAGGGCCTAACTTGCTTGCAGTGCTCGCCATGCATGTGGCACTAGGACCCCCTGTTGGATGACATCTGAGAAAGCTGAGCGCTGACCCAGCGCAGAGGGACATTGGTGCTGGAATCTGATAAGAGCGTAAAGGTTTTTGTGGCTGCAAGGGAGGGGGATGGAGGGGGGGACCAGAGGGCACTAGAGCGTTGGGAATAAGGATTTGTATTCCTAACACCATAAAATCCCCTTTAAAGCAATTTTTTTTTTTACATAAATATGTATTTAAGAAATTTAGTGTCAAGACACAATTGTTCTTTTGTTTGCACTAAAAGGTTAAATAACAAAAGTCAGCCTCAAGTGGCTAACAAAATGATTAATTTATATTCAAAACTGATCTACTTTCCCCTATGAAGAATTTATAAGGTAAACTTAGCTAAGCTTTCAATGCATCTCATGTACCACAGTTTCCACACAAAAAAAGAAAAAACCCCGAACAGATAAGATGGCCCAGTAAGAGAATGAACAAATCTAATACCAGCAGTGTAAACGGATCCATTTCATTGAGACCGGAAGGATGGAAGGCATCTATTTTTCAGCTGCTGAAAGTAGGAGAAAGGTGTTGTGCTTGTTATGGCTTTCTATTTTCCTGTGAATTACTGTTGCTTGTGCAATGAAAAGTTGCTTTAACTGGATAATTTAATAAAGTGTTTTATGCAAAGTCCCATTTCCAACTACTGTAAGCTCCCTTTGGAAGATATCGCTGCTTGAAATTTAAATGGCATTTCCCCCCAAAAAAAGTTATTCCAGATCATTCTACATTACCATAAGTGGAGAGAGACATGACGGAATTATTATATCTATTTTTCCACACACCTACAAGAATTTAGTATTTGCAGTACTGTATGACACTGTTTATTCACATTTTTCATATAATTTGAAGCTGTACTTAATGCTATTTATTTTGAGCATCCCAGCAATGAATCTTTCATGCATTTAACGTGGTTTGTTACAGGGAAACAACACTCAAATATACCATTTTCCTCCCACAAATTGTATTATTTTAAATAAAATGAAATGATGAGGGTTGGGGTCACAGTGTTGAACACCCTGGTAAATATGTAGGATTCTATTAACTTATAGGAAATATGTCTTGTATACAACATTTTCAAATTAGGGAGGGTGGGCGGATTATTCAAAGAGGGGGTCTCCCTTGATGAATTCACAAAGAGTACCAGTCTGTGGATGAAAAGGTTTTGTAAAGAGCAATCTGATCGAGATCCAGAAAATGGATATGGAGCTTCCAATAAAAAACAAAAACAAAAAAAATAAAATAAAAAGTAATTACTTATTCCATTTAAACACAGCTTCCGCTTCATTTGCTAACCTCTGGTACTTTCAGCCCTCAAAAACACAATTCGAGCACTTTGTGAAGTGAAGGAATTTGTCCATGCTTATTTTTAAATAAAAATGTTTTTAGAAAGTCTCTTACAAGGAACTATATAGCTAAACACAGCTTTGCAAATTCCTTAAAAGAAAAATTACTACTACACTCTGTAGGGTCTCCACCCTCCTGGAATTCATGGTGTCAGCCAAAATATGGCCTCCAGGGTTATGCACCCACGAGTAACACACATTCATTAACCCCATTAGGACACCGCTTCATTTGTTTGTCTTTCACATTTGGACAGAAGCAATTTTGTGTGTTCAACTTCAATTCCCACCTGTCTAATTAATTACACAAACACATATTATATACCTCCAATGTGGAGTTTTTTTAGAATTTGCTATGTCGATAGATCACAGAAATCTAGATTGCCACACAAAAGCATATATTCATATAACGTAGACATCACAGGCTATTTATCCAAGGATTTTTTACACTTTATTTATATAAAGTAGCCACTTAACTGACAAATATTAAATACCGCCAACTATTGTGGTAAGATTGCATTTTTTTAAATTTTATTTTGTAACACATAAAGCTATTTTTTTTTAATTTTTTTTAAGGGTTTTTTGAGGGTTCTGCACATACTTCTGTGCAAAACCCCATGTTGTGTTCAGCTTACAACACCCCCAATGTATGTCTTGGTCACCATCATATAAAGATACACTGTCATATAAGAGACTTGACCATTAGATTTTTGATAGATGATTTAATGGGTCTGTGCTTTAATTTGGTGCGTTATAAAATTTTGACTTAAAATTACACCACACATCTACAATTTGTGCAAGTAGACACTGCAGGGTATCACGTGGTATATATTGTGCATTAACATGCTGTTATTTTCCACAAGTTTATGTCAAAGTCTGATTTAAAAAAAAAAAAAAAAAAAAATCTACATTAATAGTTTTTTTCTTTAAATTCACACTACATTTTTGCAGGGGACTTTGCAAACCTGATGTGTTACAGACACACTTGTGAATAAAAGATTTTTGCATATTGTTTAAACATTCACTATGTAATTTAGAGGCCTTTTTTTGTAAATTTCGTATGTGCTACTGTAAATATATATATATATATATATATATATATATATACACACACATATATACACACACATATATACACACACACACAGTCATGTTTTTGCAAAAATACAGACCTGAATTTATAGCCTACCCACTGCAGTGTTTCCCCCAAAAAATTGCAAATTGAAGATGGGTTTATGGATAGACCGATTATCGGTCTAGCTTATTATTAAAGTCGATATTCTGAATTGCTAATAAAATCGGTATCAATCTTAACTTTCTCACCTCTCCCAGGCATCGCACGCAGTCTTCCATATCTGGAAATTTGAGGTGCCACGACACGACCTCACGTCACTCCACCCTGTATGTTGTAGGCTGGCGAGACCATGAATAATCTAATGTCATGTACTGGTCAGGCTGAGAGTGATAAGAGTGTAAATGTCATCAGCAATCACTTCTATTAGTAACAGCACTGTACATACTGGGAACTCTCTGATCTCAGCAAGTACTGGCTGCCTGACCATGATGGGAGTGTGATTGTTCAGTTAATGCCAGGTATGTGTAGAAATCAAAAACTTTAAATGTACAGAATATCGGTCGATCCTTACTATGGTGCATTTTTGTAGCTCACATTTAAATTGCTCCATAAATGCATATAATTTGCAAAAAAGTGGATACTCTGGGGACTCCCATATTTTAACCTTTATGGACGTGCCATTTTTCCACAATTTGTTTCAATGTTTGTGATATACATTTTTACATACACATTGTATTTTTGAGTTTTTTTTTTTTTTTTTTTACCAATCTCATGTGTCCCACTGTAATGTAATTATCTCAACTGTATTTATCAACATCCACTGAGTACAATATGCCATGTGTATACATTTGAAAAAAAGAAATAGCTATCTTAATCCCAATCTAAATCCCTAATCCTAAACTAAACCAAATCCTACACTTAATATAATAAATCTAATACTTATTCTAAACATAATCTTAAACCATAAACCAATTCTAATCCCAAGGATTTCCCTCTGCTAATATCAGAATTTATACAAGCAGTGGCGTACTAAGGGGGGGCGGAGGGGGTGGTCCGCCCGGGTGCCACCAGGGTGGGGGCTGCCTTGGGATGGGGCGCCGCCAGGAGCGCCGGCCCCGCTCATGCTGCAGCCGCCCGAGCGCTCTGTAAATCTCTAATTTACCTCACATTAAAGAAACACTATAGTCCCCAGAACTACTGCAGCTTAATGTAGTGGTTCTGGTGTCTATAGCCTGTCCCTGCAGGCCTTTTAATGTTAACACGGCGGCACTGCAGCACTGGCGTTCGAAAACATGGCAAATCATATGGGTGGGGCATTGTGATGTCACATGGGAGGGCGTCAAACTTTACTTTTGCCTAGAGCGGCAAAAATCCTTGCACCGGCCCTGGCTGGAGGGGGCTGTGTGAGCTGTGGCCGCACAGTGCCCCATGGTAGTTAGGAGGAAAAGTGGGGCGGAGCTAAGCAAAATCAGAGGCGGAGCCAAACTGGCACTGGGGGCGGGGCGGCAAGGGGGTGCCAAGCACAGGATCCGCCCCGGGTGCCAAATGCTCTAGGTACGCCCCTGTATACAAGCAGAGGGAATTCTAAGAAAAAAAAAAAAAAAAAAAGTGGCATGTTGATGCCAACTGCTGGCTATTTTCAGTAGGAAAACAAAAAGTTAAATAAAGAAACTCAGTCGAAACCGTTGCTGGATTGCCAATACAGGGATCATTTTTTTCCCCCACTATGTGCTGGAGATTTTTTTAAAACCGTGACTAGGGCGCTATAGCGTTTGGAATAGATATTTATATTCCTAACACTAAATGTTCCTTTTCATTTTCTGCCCATACAGGTATGGGCAATAAATTAATCAAGCTTATTCATTTACTTAGAATGGATATAAATTAAACACTCAAAGCTTCTATAAATTTTGCTTAATAATGTTCCATTTAACTGTCAAACCTTTGTATATAGGCCACGCTACAAAGCAGGCACTCTGTCTTACACCCTACCACAAAGTACCCCTCCCCTATATATTCATTTAAAGGTCTATTTGTCCTGATCACAGAAGGCTGTGCCCTGGAATTGGCTTGATACGGTCTATGCAAACACACAAGATTTACAGAGACAGCAATGGAGCTCAGACTGAAGCAGCCCAGACATGGTCAGCATAGATAAATAGAAAAACAAAAAGAACTTGATGCAGTGTACTGAATCCACAAAAAATGTTGGCGTCCAACTATAATTACCTTTTACTGCACATGGCAACACCAATTCTGTGTGACACAACGTTACTGTTTAATGAGACCTCACTGGCCTCAACAATGTTTTTTCTGTATGTTGCCATCCACGGTTTTAATGGGATTAGTCTGAACAAGAACAGTTAGACTATGGAGATGAGCTTGGCCCGAAATAGTATTTATAAGACTGTCAACAGCATGGCTATATGAGGCTTCAGATCAGCCTAGAAACATCAAATCAGCAGTCAGACGTTAAATCGAACAGAAAAGTGTTCCGGTATAGTAGCCTGTGGTATACAATTTAACCATTCTACTAGACAATACAGCATGTTCACAATGAAACCATTTCAAAACCAAGCATATTCAAATAAATGTAAAAACATTCCGGACTGCACATCTGCCATCCAGTTCAGAAATGTTGCAATTTACAACAAGGAATTTTCTTTAGCTTCCAAAAGCGGAAAGATCACATCTGATATTTTGCACTACCACACTGTTGTTGAAATGGGTTGTGCCATTTTCTTTTGTAATTTACATTTCCCACATTGTAGGTCAGGCTGTCCTGTCAAAGCTAGAGCAATTTGTTGCTTTATTAGATTTCACATTAGACATCTGAAAATGTAAGGTTCTAAAGGCAATGACTGTATTAAAACCGGTTCCTACTTAACCTCAAGGTCATACAAAACATTATATGAACACAGGTAATTGACAACCTACGCATTTGCAGAAATCACAATTTCAGGACTTTAGTAATATACAAGGTAGAAAGGTATAAACTGCACAAAAAAAACAAACAAACAAAAAAAAAAAACACAATATATATACACACACCCAAAATATTTGACTAGAATATCTCCTTTTAAAATGAAGACTTATGCAAAATAGCCTTTAGATTTGTGTAAATCGAAAGAAAAAAAAAAAATCCAAAGAAAAACCTTCCACTTCTAACAAATCATTAAAAATGCTTTGGATAAAAGTCTTCATTCAGATTCACCACATTTAGCCAAAGTAATTATTCAAATAACTAAAATAAAACGTGCACCTAGCCTCTTCCGGTAATTTGCCTACTCTAACATTTTCCACATTCCAGCTTAATACATAAGTCTAGTAGCATTTCCATAATATCTAAATGAGGTGCAAGTAAAACAAAATAATTATATTTCAGAATTTAATGGGCATGAAAAACTTATGCAAAAAAAAAAAAAAGTATGAAAATAAAGAGTTTGTTTGGAATCTGTAAGCTCTTAGGCACTAGCATTGGCTGTCAGAAAAACAGAGTAACCCTTAATCTCAGCTTTAAACAATTCCATTAACCTTCACAGTATTGGGATGTTCCATGCTGTCCTTTACAGAGTGAGTTTTAAAAAGGGACACTATAGAGTTAGTAATACAAAAATAAAAACAAACAAACCTGTATTCCTAACTCTGTCTGTCACACCCCCCACCACCATTACCCAGAGTTACAAAAAAAAAAAACACAAACACACCACTACTTTAAAAACCATTTACTTCTTCCCAGCGCCAAGCTCCCTCAGCACTAGCTTTGCCTCTAACGTCACAATGTGCGATGAGTGCAGCACTGAAATAGGAAGTACCTCTCGTGGCCGTCTGAGTGACTGCCGCTAGAGGTGTTACTAGGCAGCAATGTAAACACTGCCTTTTCTCTGTAAAGGCAGCATTTTCATTGAAAAGCCTGCAGGGACATGCTATAGACACCAGGACCACTAAAATAAGCTGTAGTGGTTCTGGTAACTAATGTCCATTTAAGTTGCAGTTGAGCAAAGACAAATGTGCAAATTTTTGATTTTCTATTGATTCAGAACTTCAACAATTACCTCTGTCTGGTTAAAACCCTGATTTTGCGGTCTATTGGCATATAGGAAGTGAAAGGAATGGTACAAAAACCAAATCCAATCTGTAAGTGGAGCGCTCCAAGTGAATAAACTCAACCCACTCTTGGTCTATATAAAATGACCTGTATGTGGGGATAGAATGAACAATAATATAGTGTAGTATATTGTAGATATTATTGAGAATAATAGTGGAGAATATGAAACCACTCACATGGTTCTGAGCCTTAACGGGACAGGCTCAGATCTCTCAAGCAGGCGTGTTTTAGGATCACACGAAACCTATATATAGGCAGAATGTTCTTGATACCTTCAACGGATAGAAACCACAATATAGTGTAGTATATCAGCATAAATATAGTTGCCAAAAAGTTGAAAATTGCTCACCTGGTTCAGAGCCTAAATCCTGGCTCTGAATGTATAGCTTTATGTGTCCCATCAAGCAGATTTAATCATATAGTTAGGCCATCACAAGGTGAGGATTTTCAGAAATCATACATGAGAGACAGACACAAAGAGATCCCATTCTCTCCAAAAATATTAAACAAAAGACAAAGAAGCCCAGAAGACGGGGAAATAGAGGAGGAACTTACGTACAGAAAAGACAGAAAAAACAAATACTAACATCATCTAACAATGGGGGAATATTTAATTTAACGCAGAGAATTTTAACTCCATCACAAAATACATTATTAGCAAAAGGACTGAAATTTGCCCCCTCAAAAGACATAGATAAGTTTGATATGTTTATTGATATGAACCGATTTAAAAGGAAACTGTGCCTCAAAAAGTTCTTTGTGAAATATCCAGAACAATCTAATTTAATAGAACAATCAGAATTTATTCACACTGATTTAAAAGAACCATCTAAATTTTTCCCTAAATGTTGCATTTCGGAAGAAATGATTACCTTTGAGAGAATGGTGATGCAAGATATCAATAAGATAAAGGGACTAAATAAATATGAACAAAATTTAACCCTTAAAGAGAGGCTTGCTTTAAAAGATTTTTAAAAAGATAACACTCTTGTTATCAAACCCGCAGATAAAGGGGGTGGAATAGTCCTGTTAGAATATACGGACTATATGAAGGAAGCCAATAAAATCTTGGGAGATACAAATACATATATAATACTTAACAAAGATCCTACAGAAGAAATCAAAACCAATTATAATATATTGATAGAGAAAGGGAAAATGAGAAATATATTAAATAAAAAGGAATATAATTTTCTAAGTATCACACACCCTAAGATACCGGTATTTTATTACCTCCCGAAAATTCATAAAGATAAAACAAATCCACCAGGAAGACCTATAATATCTGGAATAGGATCTATCTCAAGTCGATCACAATACATCGACAAAAATTTACAATCTATTGTACAACAATGCCCTAGCTATTTGAAGGATACTATTAGTATCTTACAGGTTCTTACCAACATTGAATGGCAGGATGATTTCTACTTAGTGACATCTGACGTAACATCTCTATACACTATAATTTCCCATGAAAGGGGCTGTTTAGCAACCAAAACATTTTTAGAACGTTCACAAAAATTCCATCCAGAACAGATAGACTTCATTATCAGCGGTATAGATTGGATACTCCGCAATAATTATTTCTGGTTTGGGGATAATTTTTATCTCCAACAGTGTGGTAATGCGATGGGCACGAGGTTCGCTCCCAGCTATGCGAATCTTTTTATGTCCCATTGGGAACACCAATTCATTTACAGTGACGATAGATGGGAGTCGAACCTCGTGACCTATCGCAGATATATTGATGATCTATTCTTTATTTGGAAAGGAGATGAAGAGTCACTCCTAACCTTTCTATCCCACCTGGAATCGAATGATTGGGGAATAAAATTAACTACCAACTTTAGTAAAACTCAGGTACACTTTTTAGATTTAAATATATACGTAGAAGACGGATTGTTAAAAACTAATACTTTTTTTAAGAAAACAGATGTTAACAGTTATATACATCAGAACAGCTGCCATTTTTCCCCTTGGCTCCTCAATGCCCCAAAGGCCCAATTGCTTAGAATAAAACGCAATTGTACTAATGACCAAATCTTCCAAGATCAAGCATTGACTATTCTACAAAACTTTAGGGATAAAGGATATGAAGACTCATTATTAAGTAAAGCATATGAAGAAGTTAAACTGAAAGAAAGATCGTCACTACTAACATATAAAGAAAAGAATAATGACCCAAATAAAAAAGATCCTGTATTTATATGTGATTTTAATTGTAAAAATAAACAAGTTAAAAGAATTTTGAATAGGTATTGGCCTATTCTGAAAAATGATCATATACTAAACTCTATACTCCCAGATAGACCTACTATAGTCTACAGAGGTGTTCCGAGTTTAAATAGAACTTTAGTACATAATCACATTAAAACAAAAAAGGAGCTCAACTTTTTGAATGACAAGAAAGGTTTCTTTGGCTGTGGTAATTGCACAGCTTGCAAAAATACTAAAAATAAAAAAAGACATATAACATCTTTTACACATCCAAAGAATCCGGAACAGAAGTTTAAAATAAACGAATTAATTACATGCTACTCTAAGAAAGTCATTTATACCATTATATGCCCTTGTGGCCTTGTATACGTAGGACGGACTATCCGTCCCCTCCATGTACGTATACAGGAACACATTAGAAACATTAAAAATGGTTTCGAAAAACACAGCCTCTCTCTCCATTTTTTAAAATTCCATCAGAAGAATTCCGAATTAGTCCAATTTATGGGGATACAAAAACTCACCCAAAATTGGAGAGGTGGAGATGTAATACAATCTTTGGGCCAAATGGAAATGAGGTGGATTTTTAATTTAAACACCATGCTACCTCACGGATTGAACAATGACTTCGAATTGTGTCATTTTTTGTGATGGAACTTGCTTGTTAATATATCATATATGCTACCACAGTCCACTCCCTAATATATAAGTCTATATATTTCATTATTTATTCGTTAACATAATGGCACTTTAAGTGTGGAGAGACAGGTATGTGCTGTATCAATAATACTATCTATAAAGACACACACATTATATATATATATATATATATATATATATATATATATATATATATATACACACACATATATATATACACATACACACACACACACACACACACACATATACATACACCGATGTACAAATTTTTCCTTTCCAGTTTCTCACTTAATGAATCCTATCCCTTTAAGAGGCAGGTGATGACAGCCTGTGATTCAAGGCTATCATTACTCTGAGATATGGATATATATTGACATTAGATCTTAGATAGTCCACTTTATCTACGACATATAGATTGAATATTATCTTGTTACAATCTATATATATTTAAATCCTGCCATAGGCCTAGATACATATTATGCTAAAATTATAACCTTAAAAGGTGGCTTGTATATGCCTTATAAATATTGGAGTGTAGTGTCTTTAGGGGTATAGGTAAAGAAAAAGAAACACACAAATGATAGTATTAAAGGCAATAAGTTTATTTAATTACCATGTGAATATCTCATGTAAGTAATCTTTTTATCTATCTGTCTTTACCCTTTACGATGTCTCTATGTGAGAGACTCTTGACGTATATATAGCGATCGCATTTTGCCCTCAAACAAGATGGCGATCAAAGACTCATAGGTGTACGAACTAATTGAAATGCGACCGCTCTAGAAGATGACACATGCGGAAATGACGTCACGCAACACAGCCGCCGATCATCCGCAATTAAAGAAGGCTCTTTTGAGGATATAAAAAGAAAACCGGAACACAGATGAAAACACCGATTGAAAAAGCCGCTGGGCGAAACGCGTCTGAGGATCAACAAGATAAAGGACTCTCCTATATTTATACTGTATTTTTATATAGTTTTTAATTTCTATTTTAATTTTTGTTATAGCTAGTCTATATTTTATAATAAATTGTTTTTCCTACAATCCACTGTTGATTCCAGTATCCTGTGTTCCTGCTATTTATCCAAAAGGGTTTTGTGTCCCCTTTCTGACACATAAAGCTATACATTCAGAGCCAGGATTTAGGCTCTGAACCAGGTGAGCAATTTTCAACTTTTTGGCAACTATATTTATGCTGATATACTACACTATATTGTGGTTTCTATCCGTTGAAGGTATCAAGAACATTCTGCCTATATATAGGTTTCGTGTGATCCTAAAACACGCCTGCTTGAGAGATCTGAGCCTGTCCCGTTAAGGCTCAGAACCATGTGAGTGGTTTCATATTCTCCACTATTATTCTCAATAATATCTACAATATACTACACTATATTATTGTTCATTCTATCCCCACATACAGGTCATTTTATATAGACCAAGAGTGGGGTGAGTTTATTCACTTGGAGCGCTCCACTTACAGATTGGATTTGGTTTTTGTACCATTCCTTTCACTTTCTATACGTTATCTTGTGTCAATTTGTGAGAGGTTTGCACATTGGTGGTAGCAGCACAATTTTCCCACTACAATAATTATAAGCGCCTGTATACACATTGTTTCTGTTTTTTTATTGGCATATAGGGCATGCATGTCTACGAGAAGGTGATCTTGTTAAGAAAAGGCTATTGGTAGGAATCTGCATGCAAATACCAGGTACCTCGTTGCCCAGGGATAGACGACCTTCGGTACTCCATATGTTGCGGACTACATCCCCCATAATGCTCTTACACCCACAATGCTGGCAAAGCATCATGGGAGGTGTAGTCCAAAACATCTAAAGTTCCAAAGGTTGCCTATGCCTGTCATAGCCCAACGTGCATTTCAGTGTGAAAGCACTTTAACCCCTTAAGTACCAAACTTCTGGAATAAAAGGGAATCATGACATGTCACACATGTCATGTGTCCATAAGAGGTTAAGGGGGCAACAAAGGAGTTTTCACACCAAAATACGTGTTGGGCTGTATAAATCACCAAATTGACATATTGCCTTAGTGGTGACAGCTTTTGATGCTAGAATTATATATGGGTGGTATTATGGAGGATTTATTGATCATTCTCAGTCAAGTGCAGACAAATGGTCATTCTTTAACCCTTTCACCCCGTGAAACAAAAGTCGTAAACATGCTTGTATTGTGGCCAGCGACAATTACACCCCAAATATTTAGTCTGCCAGCACAAAACTATAGTAGCACAACATATTTAAAACGTGCTGAGGTGTAAGCCACCTGCTACCTTATGGAGCACAAAAAGCAAAAAAGAAAATGTATCCAATGATCCACGACTTCTGTTAAACAATGCAAGTCAATTGTCATTTGAAGCAGACCAACAATCACCATTAGTACTACTGATTGGGATTTTAATTTGAGCATAAATAATGGATTAATTGAATATTTAATCCCTAAAACATCTGGTATGTCTTGTGACCACTAAGATTAAAATATATGCACATTTTAATGACAATAGCTTCCCTGCCTGAGAAGCAATCCCATTTGGAGTTAAAAGAGAGATGAAAGAAGGTTTGGATTAGTTGTTTAAGACATTGCAAATTAGGCCGGACAGAAACTGAATATTCCCTAGTATTACAAACTGAAGAATACATTTACGCTCTTATACGATTATGTTATGACCATTTCTTACAAGCACAATTTTTCCTTTTCAAGAAACCCATACATAGCTGACTGGATATAGTCTTACATTACATGTTCGGCACTTAAAAACAAAGGATAATGTAAATCACTTTATATTCCAACAGTTCTGACGTGGCATTAACTAGATGACAAGAATAACCAAGGATATTTACCATATTTGAGCTATAAACATGTTGTTGATTTAAACCCCTGGGGGACTTGTAAGTTTGTGCCTCAAGATCTATTATCGTACACAGTGCGTGACTAGATTCATTCAAAGATTCTAAAGGTTAGAGGGATTTCTCAGGGACCAGTTTTGTTCTCATAAATTAAAATACAAATATCCCTCTCCAGGGAAGTATTGCACCAAAAACAGAAAAATTAAAAATAAATAGATAAAAAAAAAACAAAAAAAAAAAAAAAAAAAAAAACTTACACCTATTGTAAACTTGAACTTGAAAGGAGGGCCTTCCAAGAAAGCAGCACAGTTGTCATCACTAGCAGTTACAAGACGATATGGCCTTGTTTGTTTGATGTCCACAGAGTTGATGACTTTGTTGTGTCCAGCAATTTCTCCCACAGATGAGCCAGTGTCCCAGAGGAAGACTGAACCAAATCTGAAGAAGACAGCAAAAATTATCTTAGAATGCATATTAAAGATACAAGCGTTCATTGATAAACATATAAATTTCATAAACAGAATATTGCACAGGTTTCCATCCAAGGAATGTTTGCTGGAGGCACAATAATCATGACTATGTACAGTTTTCAATACGGTCCAGAATAATTGCATATTTATTATTGAGAAATTAAAGATATAAAACAATACTCACAAATGAAAAAGTGGTTTTCTTTACCACATAAAACCTATAACTCATATCTTTAGTACAAACACATTCCTGTCATTGCACACACACACACAGGAAGAAAACTTGCGACGTATATATCGCTCTTATTATAAATAATTTATAAAGCACCAACAAATTCCGTAGCGCTGTACAATGGGTGAACTAACGAACACATTTGTAACCAGACAAGTTGGACGGACAGGATGGCCCTGCTCAATAAGCTTACATGGATAGAGGGACTGGGTATAGTGACACAGAGTAAACGTAGGGTAGAAAACTCTGTTGCTAGAAAAGTATTCACACCCCCATCCCCCCACTCAGATTTACAAAGTACATTGTCCCCAATGGTGGGTGGTATAAGGTGTTTATAAAGTCGTGCTGGTTATGTAAGCATAGTGTTAATTTAAATTTGTGGGACTTCATAACTATTCTGCAGAATCCAAATATTCATATACCAGAGGCAAAAACTCCCCATTATCTATTCAGGTTTATAGGTTTCCATGACAACTAAACACCGCACTTAGCCCCTCTCAAACATTATATGCAATTTGGCAAAGCGAAGAAACAATCTGATTTGTCTCTTTATAAATAAATGATACAGTGAATCATGGATTTGCATAACATCTACACGGAAGAAAAATTTAAACAAAAAACACAAAAGGCTGTTTGCCAGAGGTACAAAATAATGTTGGGAAGCCCTGTGACTTGACTTATGTAAGAAATCACAACAGGAGGTGATGGTGGCATGGGGATAAAGGAAGCTAACATCGCCCAGGAAAGCCTGTGAAACAGACTTTAAAAGTATCAGAGGCTTTATTGTGTAAAGGCCAGCACAGTTTGGAGGAATGGTGTGTTTCACTTTAAGCAGTTTCTAAACCAGAACGTACACACTCCGTTCTCCACACAACATTTACAGGGAGTGAGCATAGTGCACATGTGATCTGAAACCGTAAATCTACGGAGGGCATCACAGAGTAGCAGCAGACACATAGACAAGCCTGACTGCAGCAGATCACTCCGATTGCTGCCAAGAGTAGGGCTGCAATAACCAAAGCAGGACAGACGAGAGTGGAAGCATATGGATAAGAAAAGGATGGTTAACAGAAACATCTAGTTCCAGTGAATGTAGGCTGAATTCCTGGAATAAATGATGTGGCAGGTCAAAGAGGACATCTAATTATTATTGGTGCATGGTGAGTACTGTTAGAAGGTCAGGAAGTTGTGTTTTAGCCTATTCTCATATCAAAAATCGTTTTTTGAGAAAAGACAAAAATGCCAAGAAGAAAGTATGCAATGTACTGATTAAAATGCAGGGATCATACGGAGTACCCATGGAAACGATTTACTGTGTAGGAGAAATATACAGAAAACACAAGATAAAGAATTGTGATTACAGAGAAGAAAAAAAAAAAAAAAATACAAAACCATTAAAGAAATATGATGCTAAATAACACATTTTCACTCAGAAGAAAGAAAAGGAAAACCAACAAGGCACTTCTGATAAAGTTGCCATTTTAGAGGAATGAGTGCAAGAATAAAAATAAAATCACAGTAACGGTTTGGGGGTACACTGTAGGCACTTTAACAGTCTGGAGTCCCCTAGCACTGTTCCATTCAGCATTAGACCTTTTTTTAGTTAGTTTTTTTGAGTCCCCCAACAGCCACCCCCGTTTGTGCTGCTTGGGATAATGAGGAAGCATTAATTTGAACAACCAATTCAATAAGGTGACATGGTTACTATATAATGCTTACAGTGTTCCTTTAACATATTTTGACAGGAAACCAAACTGCATGCATAGAATTATAGTGCTTAAGACAGTCCCTTTACAAATATCGGGATTGTTAATCCACACTTAAAATATATCATCTCTCACTTGCAGAACACTTTTATAAAAACACAAGCTACCAGAACTCTAACAAGAGTACGCAACAGAATGTTCTCTCATGGAAGTCCTACCATCAGTCATCTGTGTACTTTGGGAGTAGTTCTTCCTTACCTGGTAACACTGAAAACTGTTGTCAGGTTACCGAAGGAGAGAGATAGAGAGATATTTATAATTATGTGCGGACTGTGAAAAACTCCCCTTCCCACGAGCTCCTCAAGGAGCTTGCTTTCCAACCTCCTGCCCACAGACAATGGGCCCTGCAGGGAAACCTATAAAAGACTAGTTAGTTAAAGGACCACTATAGTGCCAGGAAAACATACCTTTTTTCCAGCGGGGAGCTCTCCTCCCTTTCGGCTGAATGCGCGCGCATTCAGCCAGTCTCATAGGAAAGCATTTACAATGCTTTCCTATGAACCCTTGCGTCTTCTCACTGTGATTTTCACAGTGAGAATCACGCAAGCGCCTCTAGCGGCTGTCAATGCGACAGCCACTAGAGGATTTGCAGGCTGGATTAACCCTATTATAAACATAGCAGAAACTGCTAACATTCTCTGAAACTGCTATGTTTATATAAAAAAGGGATAATCCTAGAGGGACCTGGCACCCAGACCACTTCATTAAGCTGAAGTGGTCTGTGTGCCTAGAGTGGTCCTTTAACTGGCTTGGTTCGTGCCCATTCTCTATTCTGTTTGGGAAAACAACCAACAACCACATGAACCAGAGACCACCTGGGAGCTTCTTAAGCCCAATTGACACTGTGTTCCAGGGTAGAACTGCGATTGTGTTCGGTAGTTTGTTCTGCTTTAAACTACCGAACTTGACCGACCGTTGGCACCGATTTCATGGAACTGTTTTGGGCAATAGACCATGTGCATGGTCGGTCAAAATTATAACTTCCATGGAAATCCCAAACCCTTGAACTGACATGGGTGATTTTTTGGATATGTTGGTCACCCAGATAAGGGCTATCAGCGGATGTGACTGATGTGGAGTTTTCATGTGTTTTGGGGGTTGTTATATTGCCAGTTTCTGCACTGAGATATAATTCAATTGTGTGCTCAGGTATTTATCTCTCAGGCACAGGGGAGGAGTATGTTAGATGCTTGCTTGTAACTAGTCTCCTCTCAGGTCCAGAGGGAGGGATTATCCTGTTTTGTGTGGGAGTGTTTTGGGCGTGTTTGACTGTGTCTAAACTGTATAAAAGCAGGCCATATGGCCAGATTAAAGTATTCCAGCTTATTCTCCCAGAACTATGTGTGGTCTGGTTACTGGGAGGGGAAAGGGCTAATCACTGTTCCCAGTGTGGAGGACTCAACTGAGAAAGTCCTTGTAAGGACTAGAGTTCCCAGGACTGAATGTCGTCTAGTGCCTGGGGGTGGATAGAGCGAGATCCCCATTCGGCTCCAGCCAGTGTTACAGCTTGGTTGGGGTCTCGCTGTCCTCCACCTACCCTGGGCCCAACTTCCAGTGGGTAGACCTCTCCCAATTCAGAGCGTAAAGCAGGATAGCTCTTATAAGAGCTAGTGATTATAATCCAAGGGAGTATAATGAGTATAGCAATCCCCAGAGTGAATATAGCTTTTCCCTACACACGAGACGAGGCTCTATTCTGAGGGTGAAGAGAAACATGGAAACCCCACAAAAGTCACATCCCCTGATAGGCCCCATCTGTGGCACCAACATATCCAAATATCACCCAGATCGGTTCAGGGATTCGGGATTTCCATAGAAGTCATAATTTTGACCGAACGTGCACATGGTCCTATGCCCAAAACAGTTCCAGGGAGTCAGGGCTTACTGTCTGTCTCTCTTTCTGGAGTACAAAAATCACATGAACGGAGCCTTTTAAAGTGCATTGGGCAAGGTATATTGCAGGGCCCATAGAGGCAGGAGGCTGGCAAGCTAGCTCCTCCAGGAGCCTGTGGCGAGGTTCTGTTCGCCACATATGGAGAAGTTTAAAAAAAAAAAAAAAAACCACACACACAACACGTGTTTTCATTTTATACTTGGAAACTTTCTGAATTTGCTCTTGAATATTAAGTAGCTTTTGCTCAGTCTACAGATGCATATTGTACTGTTTTTCCAACACATTTACAATAAGATGTATTCAATTTAACCAAGCACCGCAATCACCATAACCACTACAGTTAACTCTATTGACACAGGTCATTGCCCGAGAGTGTCATATGAAGCACTTTCAGCCAATGAGTGCAGCCCAGCACCATCATCTGTATATTTGAGCTCAGTGTCTTGGGGGAAGGGGGACAACACAATCTTTGCAATTGAAATAAGAAATGAAAGTTATTCATTCAAATTCACAATGTGGTTTAGGTAGTTCTGTTCAGTTTGTTAAAGGGACACTATAGGCATCAAAAGAACTTTAGCTTATTGAAGCACTTTTAGTTTATAGATCATCACCCTGCAGTCTCACTGCTCAATTATCTGCCATTTAGGACACACTATTGTTTGTGATTATGTAGCCCTAGCCACACCTTCCCTCGTTGTGACTCTCACAACTTGCATTGAAAAAAAGTTTCATTTTCAATCTGATGTTAAGTTTTGTAATTTTTATTTCCTGCTATATAAATGTAACTTTAATCACACAGGAGGCTCCTGTAAGGACTAAATGGGCACGAACAGATCAGTAGATAAATTCTAAGTTAAACAGAATGTGCAATGCAGGAAGTTTAAACATTACATCTCTTTAGAGGAAATGCTTAGGAAGTCTGTGAAAGTCACATGCAGGTAGGTGTGACTATGGGTAGATAAAGTGATTTAACTCATAACTGCAGGAATCTACTGTATGTAAAGTTTAACTAAAAGGAGGTAAAAACTTTTAAGGAAAGTTACATCTAATTGAAAATTAAACCATTTTGTTTTCACACAGGCTGTGTGAGTTACTATCATGGGAGGTGAGGCTAGGGCTGCATAAACAAGATTGATTGAACTCCTGAATGGCAGAGAATTGAGAATAGAGACTGCAGTGGCATGGCCAATACACAAAACTGCTTCATTAAGCCAAAGCCATTTGGATTTCTATAGTATCCCATAGTATACTAGTGCAAATTCAATAAATGGAGTAACAATTTCCATAATCAACGGGAAAGGGAACATATAAATATCTCTTTAGAGCAGTGTTTCTCAATTGGTGTTCTGTGAGAACACAAATTGGGTTCCGCCAAAATTTCAGGAAACAAAATGGCCGCCGCGATAATTGATGCAGCACTCTCCCCTGCTCAGCTCCCTTGCACAGCAGTGATGCCAGAATCGGAATATGACGTCACTCCGGCTCCTGCATCACTAAGAGGAACGCTAGGGAGCTGAGCAGGAAGATCACTGCTCCCTCGCCGCCCGCACATCAGCCGCTCAGCCCAGCAGCCACACTGGACCCCAGGGAAATAGACTCCATGACAGCACTCCCAAAGGTAGGGAGGCTGGGTGGAGTGAAATTTTTAAAAATAGTGTGTGCATCAGTTAAGGAGTTTGTATGCGTGTGTGTGCGTGCATGTGTGCTTGTATGAGTGTCTGTCAGTGAGAGTGTATGTGCGCCAGTGTGTTTGTAAGTGCGTATCTGAGTGTGTGTATGTGTGTGCATTTGTGAGTCAAGATGTATGTGTGTGTGTATCAAACACAGATACACACTGGCACATAAAAAAAAAAAAAAAAAAATTTTTTAAAAATTAAAAAAAAATGTGCACCATTTTTTTGTAATGGGGGTGGGGGGGTTCCACAAGGTTGATATACTATGTCAAAGTGTTCCACTGGAAAAAAATAATTGGAAACCCCCTGCTTTAGAGTGTAGTAACATAGGGGTACAGAGTGAGATACAGGAGTATTTTAGGCTAAAAGAGCTTATTTAAAAATCTATGCAATTCTGCAATATTCACATCGTACTCTATGAAATACCATTTGGATTTTAATCCACAGAAATTTGGACCTTAGGGAATAAACCCCATACGTGGGCTAGGAGCATGAACAGGAAGCACTCAAATCCCCAATGTTTTAAATTCCTCAACCTATGCAAACCATTGTCTCAGTCTGTGATCAGGGCCATCTTTGAACAGTAAAAATCATGATAAAAGCAGTAATTCTCAATTGTTTTGTAAATGGATAGGTGAAAGCAAGTGGAATGAAAAGTCGTTTAGCACATGGTATAACAATATCCAGGGAATGGTCTGTTGGAACCAGCAGAGCTTTTTGGGGTCAGAATAAACACTTTTTATTATTCTTCAAATCATTATAGGAATTGGGTCCAAAAGGCAGAATGAGAAACAAAATCTTTAGATATCACACACTTATCAGGGCAAGTCCTACAGTACTACTCAGATCTAAAGGTTATTTGCACTCCATCTCGTAATGAGAAAGGAGTACTGGCAGTATCAGAAGCACTAATCGACCTCCTTTTCCAGTCACATACCTCATGCAGCATACAATGATTCTAGAAATCGTTGAATGCGTTCTGCAGCTGCTCGGGAGACTCCATAATATTTGCAGTCTTTACAGCAATTCTGCAAAGGCTAAACCTTTGCAGAGTTGAATACAAATAAGAATAAAATGGAAATATGTTGTTCAATATACACTGATCATGACATCATTTTTGTTACCAAATGGCTGGTCGGTGAAGAAAAAAAATAATTTTTTTTTTTTTTTTTTTTAAATTAGAGTCCTGAGTACATACAAACACAATATTTACAAAAAGGCAAAAATATTTTCTTAAGTTTACTTACATTTCCCTTCCTTCTCCAACCACAGCGACCCTCTTGCTATCCTCTGTCCAGGCCATGTCTTTAATTTTGCCAGCAAATGGTTGGTACTCATACTTTAGCAAGTGCTCTTTCTGTGTGGTGTCCCAGATTCTCACTTTCCCAGAGACATCTAACAAAAGAGCAAACATTCCCATTAACATGGCAGACTATCTTATATGGGCATGACTTTATATGCAAATCATTTAATTCTATTAAGCTGGGTTGTTTGTTTTTATTTGTTTCATATCAAAACTGAATCTGTTAGACCATCAAGACTACCAAGTGTGTCTATGTGTGTCTATGTGTGTAATATACATTATATATAGTTTGAGGCACCCAATTATTTTCTCATATAAAGCTCAATGTGCCTAGAGGGGTATCAGCTACACCTCGCTGATGAGGCACAAAGAAGGCTGAAACAATGGTGCAGGGTTGCTGTATCGCTCATACAGAGAAAACTTCTTGCTTTCGTTTCTGGACTGCCCTTATGGGTGGGATCAGTCAGACATGCAAATTGTATAGGTTCTCTCTGTAACGGCACAAGTGAGCAAAAACATTTTTTTCAGACCTGACACTAATCGAAGATTAACCTCCTGAGTTTCTTTAAAGGATCACTATAGGGTCAGGAACACAAACATGTATTCCTGACCCTATAGTGTTAACACCACCATCAAGCCCTCCTGCCTCCATAAATATAGCAAAATCTTACTGTATTCAAGCCAGAAGCTGTAACTCTGCATGCTGTTTGCCTCAAAAAAAGCAAGCTGTCTGCTGACATCAGAAGTGGTGGCCTGATCCAATCACAGTGCTTCCCCACAGGATTGGCTGAGACTGACAAAGAGGCAGATCAGGGGCAGAGCCAGCACGATTCAAACACAGCCCTGGCCAATCAGCATCTCCTCATAGAGATTAATTGAATCTGTGAATCTCTATAAGGAAAGTTCAGTGTCTGCATGCAGAGGGAGGAGATACCCCACCCTCAGCATCCACCCTTCCTTAGTGCTGAAGGGGTTAAAACCCCTTCAGCCACTTACATTTATCGAACGCCAGGCTCCCTCGGCGCTGGTGACCTCTCCTCCCCCACCGACGTCATCTCCCAAGTAGAGCGGAATGCACATGCGCGGCAAGAGCTGCACGCGCATTTAAACAGTCCATAGGAAAGCATTTCTCAATGCTTTCTTATGGACGTTCTGCATCCAGCGTCGCAGAAGCGCCTCTAGCTGCTGTCAGGAAGAGGGTCACTAGAGGTTGGATTAACCCTGCAATGTAAACATAGAAGTTTCTCTAGGGGGACCTGGCACCCAGACCACTTCATTGAGCTGAAGTGGTCTGGCTGCCTATAGTGTCCCTTTAACTAAATTAAGAAGTTTTGGTATATAGATTATGCCGCTGCAGTCTCACTGTTCAATTCTCTGCATTTAGGAGCTAAATCCCTTTGTTTATCTAGCCATAGGCACACCATCCTGCATGTGATTTACACAGCCTTCCTAAGCATTTCCTGTAAAGAGAATTTTAATGTTTACACTTCCTTTATTGCAAATTCTGTTGAATTTAAAATTTCTTACTTCCTGCTCTGTTAATAGCTTGCTAGACCCTGCAGGAACCTACTGTGTAATTCAAGTTCAACTTACAGGAGATAAAAACGGAAAGTTACACCTGATTAAAAATAAAACATATTTTGTTTATATGCAGGCTGTGTGAGTCACTGCCAGGGGAGGTGAGGCTAGGGCTGCATAAACAGAATCAACATTGATTTAAAGGATCACTATGGGGTCAGCAAAACAAAGCGGTTTTCCCTAACACTATAGTGCCCTGAGGGTGCCCCCACCCTCAGGGTCCTCCTTCCGTGGCGCTGAAGGGGTTAAAACCCCTTCAGCAGATTACCTTAATCCAGCACCGGGCTCCCTCTGCGCTGGTGACCTCTCCTCCCCCGCCGACGTCAGTGAGCCGAATGCGCATGTGCGGCAAGTGCCGCGCGCGTTTAAAGTGTCCATAGGAAAGCATTTCTCAATGCTTTCCTATGGACGCAAAATGTGCCTCCAGGATCGCAGATGTGCCTCTAGTGGCTGTCCAGAAGACAGCCACTAGAGGGTGGATTAACCCCAAATGTAAACATAGCAGTTTCTCTGAAACGGCCATGTTTGAGTCTGAAGGGTTAAAACCTGAGGGAACTGGCACCCAGACCACTTCATTGAGCTGAAGTGGTCTCTGTGACTATAGTGTCCCTTTAACTTCTTAATGGCAGTGAATGGTGTAGTGAAACTTCAGAGGCATAAAAAAAAAAAAAAAATCTCTCTCTCTCTCTCTCTACATAAAAACTGCTTTATTAAGCCAAAGATGTTTTGGTGAATATAGTGCCCCTTTAAAAAACACAATTCAGAGCATTTAAGAAAAGAAAAATTAAACAGGGGGTGTGGGGGCATGCAAGCAACAGAAGGCTGAGCAGGTAACACAGCCTGCTTTATAAAATGAAAGATGTGCAAGTAGTCAGATACACAGAAAGTGGAAGAAGCAAAATCAAGTTCAGACATGTACCTTGTTCAGATTGTAATAACAGGTATACAACAGCAGGGATATCATACCTCCAGAAATAATGTAGAATCCACTAGGGGCATATTTGGCAACAGTAACTTGATGAGCATGTTCGGTGTACACATCTGCAATGGCTGGATTCTAGAAAGTAATAAACATTGTTAGAGATAACTCCACAGAGGGTTCTCTGCTCAGGTAATAGCAAACATCTTATTGTCAAATTAGAAGTACATTGAAAAGGATACATGAAGAGGGTGTATTACGGTGAAACCAATAACTAAATACTTAAGTAGTGTTGAAGAATAAAAATTATAAGGAGATGACCTGTAGGATGATTGAAAAACAACAACTCGTTTAGAATGTAAGAAGGAAGGTTAAACACAATAAAAACACAACAACAACAACAACAACAGGGATATAAAGCTGTATTCCTGTCATTACCGATCCCTCTGCCTCCCCCCTCCCTCGCACCCCCTCCAAGGTAAATAATGGGTTAAAAAACACTTTACTTAGCACTGGGTCGAAGCTCTGCCCCCTCCTCCGTCCTGGGACGAGCGGGGTCTAATGCACATTAGACCTCCCCGTAGGAAAACATTTAATCAATGCTTTCCAATAGGGAAAATCTGACGCTGGAGGTCTTCATGCAAAAGTCCATTACGATTCCGGAAGTGCCCCCAGTGGCTGTCTGGTAGACATCCACTGAGGGCAGACTTTGTGCTGCAATGTAAACATTGCAGTTCTCTGGTACTGCAATGTTTTACATTGCAGCACTAAGTTCAAAAGGGACACAGCACCCAGACCACTTCAATGAACTGAAGTGGTCTGGGTGCCTACAGTGTCCCTTTACTAAGGGAGGTGTTAGAAGTAAAATACGTAATAATAGAAATGTTTCTTTAATTTCTCCATTTTACCCGCTTGCTTTGTAACCATATGTAAATCCATCCAGGAGCATTCACTGACAAATATGCATCAGTGCTGACAAACACTGACAGGGTTATTTACTGAACACTGAATTAAAATGGCTGAGAATTCACCAGGAAAGGAGGAATTGTAGGATAAAATAGCTGAACGGGGAACATAGCTCACTAACTTTCCATTTCTGTTTCGACCTAAAAATGTATAACCCATGCAGATTACTGACAATTTACAGTTTACTCATTAACTGTCTCAGAGCAGCATTAACAATACACGTTTAATTGTTATACAGCAAATGTCTGCTGTCCCAATTTTGGATACATGGAACGCCCACAAATATGGCCAGACACAGACTCCGCTTGTGCATACATTTTGACACAGACAGACCTTGAGTGTCACATTGTGTTAATTTCAGTCTGGAGATTAACATGTATTATGATACACAATGAAAAATACATGCATTTCTTAGTGCATTTTATTTTGCTATGAACAGACATCTGAAAATAAAAAAAAAAGTAAAAAATAAATAAATGTAAAGTTTGTGGTTAGGGGACTTCATACCACAGCAGGTAGCTTTCAGTGTTTAAATATTCTACTGCTGCAGGCTTTTCACAGACAGCTCTGTCCTAATTATTGAAAAGCAAAGGCCATGCTGACAAATTCAAATGCACGGCACGTCAGTCATTTGTAAGGTTTGTTTACAATACTTATCAATAACAAGGACAATGAAGACAAAAATAAAAATTTACAAATTTGCCTGGGTAATGCTGCATAAAGAAAAGTATATATTTTCCAATTTCAAGAGGTTACAGTTACTTCCAACTGTGCTAAACATACTCTATTTTATGAGTCACATAGTTCAGGACACACTTTGGGAGTGGCACTGACTCACAGACATCCTACCTAGAGGCACGCAAACCAGAGTAAGGTATCAGGCCACCATTGTGCATACATTAGCATTTACAGAATGAGTCAACACTGGATTTCATTTATAGGAAAATATTCCAGTGTTGGACAGGGAGGTAAACACAGAAAAAGACTACCAAACAAAGACAGGTTACTAGTCAGGAGAGTGAAATTTATAAATAAACCCTAAATTGTCAGGAAATGAATACTGAATTTTATAATTCATTAGAACTGTGTTACAGCTAAAAACCAAAAATGGTAAATAAATCCTATATTGCACTTCTCTCAATGCAAAAATGACTCTTTATAAAGTGATAGAAGTTAAACGCATTAAAATCTAGCATTAATGTAGAATACATCAAGTGTTAACGATAAAACTACACTAAGTGTTGATTAACAAAATAACCAATTTATAGACAGTGTCCTCACTCACCAAGTGTTTTCAAAGTACTTCTACTCACTTGCCCAATTTAATAATGGTTTTATGGCTTTAATCATATACATATAGTGTTAATTACAAAATATATATATTTTTAAAAAGTGACATTGATTCCAAAGTGCTTTTTAAGTGCAGTGTATACCTTCTAGAGTTATACAAACTACCTATTAAGGTAGATCTTGAACTAAGATTTTATAATTTGCTTTGTTCTACAGCTTACCTGGGTCACCCATGGACCCATGCAGTATCCTGTTTTCTCCTGCATGAGAAGCTGGATGTCTCTCTCTGCAGTTGGGCCGAGCAAATACAGGACTGCATTCATTGATTGAGAAAGCTGATCTGATCCACTGGGCAAGTGAGCGCAGCCCTGCGTGGCCCTGATTAGGTCAAAAGAGCAAACCAAATTCTCCTGCTAGAAGAATGCAGAGGCAGGGTGTGTGGCTGTGGGCACCTATAAACCGGTCAAAACTGTTTGACAAATTTTACAGGGAAGGCTCCATGGCACTCCTGGTACTCTAAGCACCATAACCACCACAGATCACTGTGGTAGTTAGAGTGTTCCTTTAAACGATTTTTAGTTCAGAACCAATGAGCACTATACCAGAAAAGTAGTATTAGTCAAGAATTAACTAATAATGTTGCCCCAGATGATGGAGGACATTAAGAGAAAATATTATTGAAAAAAAGTTAGCAATATAAAAACAGAAATACTAACATTAAGCATAGTGGCAAAGTAAAATTAAATACTATCACAGGGGTAAGAAAATCAGAAATCAGTCACTATTGTAGGTTACAGTTACCAAGACAGGCCTGCTACATGTTCAGCAGAATATTTTGCACTAAAAATATAATTTGGATATACTGCTTTATCTATAGGTATAAACTGCTCTAATAACCGATTAATAAAACATTGCTTATTACTGCCGACCCGAGAGATCTTTCTGAATTAGTCTCAATAAGGATACAACACTTGCTGCATCATTGCTGTGCATAATTCATATGCCAAATCAGAGAATAATGCACATCAGTTTAAAGTATTCAATCAAAAGCATTACACAAACAAGATATGGAAAAATGGAAGGCAAGCATGTTTTAATATGCGGAGCAATTTTGGGCACCTGCTCTAATGAAGGATATGATGGCAAAAAAAAAAATTAAAAAATAAAATAAAAAAACAGGCTACAAAATGAATGGAAGATTTTAGTTATGAAGAAAAGTCAACAAAATTAAATCTGTTTAGTGTAGAAAAACTGCACCTCAGAGGGCATATAACAACATTATATAAATAGATTTGGAGCAAATAAACCCTAACCATACAGGAGAAACAAGGTCACTCATTTAGACTGGAAGAAAGGAGATTTAGTCTTGTGCAGTAGAAACAGATGTGTAATTCTCTGCTTGAAGGGGTGGTTTTACAGTTTTTATAATAGTTTTTTGCAAAAACATAATATTTTGGGATACAATATATAATAGTGGGTTAACAGCTTTTTGATCCATTGATAAAGAGATGTGGAATTTGTATTTGAAAACACTCAGGACATGCAGCTCCGGGCACCAGCAGGCATTTTATTTGGAATTTTAGCCATGCTATTTGCCTGCAAGAAGAAGGACATTGTGAAAGAATAGTCCCATAACTTGTTTAAGTTGATTTTGTGAATTTATATTCCCTTTTGTTTGATTTGTTTTACTTGGTTCGGTTCCCGAACGAGGATCACCCCAGACCCTAATTAGAACGTGGAGTATCCTGTACGAAAACCGCAAAGTAAACAATTAATAGAATGCTCCACTGGATGGCCGTCATTTCGTGCAACCGAACTCACATGGTCGAGACAATGTATGGTGGCCATCTCGTCTCCCGAACGCAGGCAGTGGGACATGGTCGTAGAGTTCCTGGAACTGTTTCCGGCCAGGCACACCTGCGAACGCCGGTAAAGATAGACCTGCTGCCCGTTCAAGTTCCGGACCATCTACACGGATGGCGTTCAATAGTCAGCAAATACCGAACAAGGGGAGCATTCGCACAGTAAAATCTTTTGTGTATCTTATGTGGTTTACATACAAAACCCCACAAATGGAATCCAGTCATTGTCACAATTTTCCTGGAACTATTTTGGGCTTCAACCCTCGTGGCAAGCTGGTGAAACCTTCCCCGGGATGGGGATTAAAACTACCAAACCAATGTTGGTCCCCCAGATCAGGGGTATCTGGGGATGTGACTTTTGTGGTGTTTTCATGTATTTTGGGGTGGCTGTAAATTATGTGTTTTTCTGTACCTGGAGATAATTGAGATTGTACAACTCCTGACTCAATAATCTCTCAGGTCCAGGGGAGGGATTACCCTGCTGTTTTGTATTGAGATTGTACAACTCCTGACTCAATAATCTCTCAGGTCCAGGGGAGGGATTACCCTGCTGTTTTGTGTACGAAACACCTTGCCTGGGCTTTGTCGTAACAGGCCGTGTGTGGCCCTGAATAAAACTTTGTTTCCCAGCCTTGACTCATGTGTGGGGGGTTATGCGATACCAGCGATATTTTACTTCAATGTTATTGCCGTTATTTTATTACGGGAAAAAGGAATCCGTGGCGGTGAAACTTTGGTGGACCGCCACAGAAAGTGTTTGGGGAAGGGAGTCTGAGCGCTAGTCTCTTAGTACTTGCAGACCTCAGAAGACACTTAAATTAGCGGTTCCAGTGCACACTATTGAGTCAGCCCCTGGAACTCCCAGCGACCACTCTGGCTTTGTGAGCGCCCGAGCCACAGGGAGCAGGATTACTGAGGTCCATATAAAGATGCTTTATGTATTGGAGTCCAAAAGATTTGGCTTAAGGGCTGGTGAGAGTAGAAGATCCAGCACACGCCACACAGCAAGTGCACACAGTGTACAGCCTTCACACAAACACACTATACAGCCAGCACAAATCAGAGACTAAATATACAGTCTGCACATGCATTACATACAGCCAGCAGAAACACACTATGGAGGAGAACAGAGGGCGAGATACTAAACTCCAAAGTTTTGCACATTAATTCCAAATGGAAGAAATAGCCTGGTATGAATATAGCCAAGTTGGAGTATTTTTCCAGATAAGCTATTTTGTCCTCAGCTTTCTTTCAAATGTAATCTTGGAAAATTCAGAGTATGTGAATAACCCTACCAATGTCCAGATGTAAGCAGGGTCTGCAAACTTTGTAATCTTAAAATTGTCAGGACAATTAGATTGGGCTATCACTTTAGTCCCTTGGACATACTTGAAAACGAGAGAAATCTCAATGCATCCTTCCTGGAGATAGATAGATAGATAGAAAGAAAAAAAAAAAAACTTTTTTTTTTTTTTTAAATAGCCACATCCCAGTAATCTTATTAAAGATCTGTTTGTCATTCTTGGGTGAAAAATCTCCCCCCTCCTTCCACTTTCCCCACACACAGTTTGTCACAAAAATTGGAAAAAACACTTAAACTTTTTTTTTTTTTTTTTAGTTTCTTTTGGATCAACAGCAGATTGAAAAAGTCTGACAATGTTGCAGGGTTAGTGTATCACCAGAAGAAACATTACTGGTGTAGAGGCAATAAAGAGAGAAGTGGAGATTAATATGCACACACTAAACCTACCACAGGTTTTAGATGGTGTTTAAAATTTTTGTTTTGAGGTTATTACACCAAATACAACAGCATGTCTTACAGAAAAAAAAATAAAAAAATAAACACAAACACACACACACACACACACACACACACACTCTATACGTGCAAATTTCGCAAGAAAACCTGCACCACACTGTTTTTTGTTTTTTTAATACTACATGAAAATCACACAAGTGCTTTGTAAAAAGAAAATCCACTTAGGAAAATAATTAGTAAGATAACCAAGATACATTTAGCAAGAGCTATGTTTAGTAAATGACAATATAAACAAATCAAGGAACGCTAGTCTTACCTCGATATTGCGGATGATGACACATTTTCCATTGGTGTATAGAAAGTTATTGCCCTTTGGGTCTCCGCCAATAACCTTGGCTACACCTCTTTCCACTTGAGGAAGACTTGCAAAGACTTTTTCTAGAATCGGAGAAAAAAAAACAAAAAAAAAACACAACATTACAAACCATTCTTTAACAAGTCAAACTTGCTTTCAGTAAAGGTTTTCAAGGATAGAAGTTTAATCAATGATAATTGTTCCATCCCAAAGCTACTAAATGCTGTTCTGCTCACCCTATCAAATATTAACCAAATCGGTAGCAGATTAGTTGATCCCAGCATCCTGAAGTCTCCAATTCCAGAGATATCTTCTTTCCATTATTATTTTAATTCATCTGATATTCTAATAAACTGCCCTCTCACAGATAATATTAAACAATTCTATCTTTATCCTTTCTTTTTCACGAACATATCTGAGCTATTGTCTTTTTACCTTATATTTTCAGTAAAGTGAAGTTGCAGGAACAGAAAAGTTTAAGCAAAAAACAGCGCAAGTAAAAAAAAGTTATAAACTAATGTTTTCTGGCTTTAAATCTGCACATCTCTGGTAAATTCAAACCAAATCACACTTAAATAGGCCTGAAAGAAAGTCCCCTATATTAGCACATTACTTACTTTATAAATATTTTAGTAAAGTTTTTTTTTTTTTTACTATTTAACCTACGAAGGTAAAAATCTGTAACAATTGTGGACATTACTACAGTTTGTTTATTATCTGTTCACTATCAGACTTTTCAGTCGATGTGGATATATTTAGGAGTAGGGCTGGTATTCTAGTAGGCCTGGAGGATTAAAACATTTCTAAACACAGGTCTAAAAACTGCAGACTATGAATATCTTTAGAAAGCATGGCTTTCGTGCCTATGCATCAAATAAATACACTACATAAAGCTTGACTTCACCAGGCAGGGCGTGCAAGTGGAAGTACATCAAGTGTGCAAATAAGGAAGCGGTAGCAGTACTGCAGTAAGACGGGTGTGGAAAGACTGGGTGAGGCTAAATGGATAATAAAAATGTTCAGGAGAAATACTATTATTCTGGTATCTAGCAAGTGAAATTTTCTCCCAATTTATAGCAACAGGAGGTGTGCATCTAAATAAGCAATCCTCTTTCAGCTGGGGAAGACAACTGATGTTAAACACATACAAATACATGCTCCAATTCCATTAACAAATTGATGCAGTAGATAGATAAATATATGTTAGCAATTGAGAAATACATGTAATGAAGTAAAATATGCAGTATGCTTCCCCATGCATGGGCCCTGAAATAAACAAGCATGCAACTGGTCCTGTAAATCAATGAGAGGCAGGGATTACATGGATTGACTGCTATGATTAGATGGACCATCTATCTCCGTTGAGACATGTCTCCTACAAGAAAACCTATACTGCAGGGCAGTATTCAATCATAGATTCACATAGCATCTTTACTGAGCCTCCATAATTAAAGGGGCAGTATGGTTACCCAATAAGAGACGGTATGGTCTCCAGAATTAAAGGGGCAGTATGATCACCCAAAAAGGGGCAGTATGGTCACCCAAAAAGGGGCAGTATGGTCACCCAAAAAGGGGCAGTATGGTCACCCAAAAAGGGGCAGTATGGTCACCCAAAAAGGGGCAGTATGGTCACCCAAAAAGGGGCAGTATGGTCACCCAAAAAGGGGCAGTATGGTCGTCCAGAATTAGAGGGGCAGTATGGTGTCCAGAATTAAAGGGGCAGTATGGTTACCCAGAATTAAAGGGGCAGTATGGTGTCCAGAATTAAAGGGGCAGTATGGTTACCCAGTAAGAGACGGCATGGTGTCCAGAATTAAAGGGGCAGTATGGTCACCCAGTAAGGAGCAGTATGGTCTCCAGAATTAAAGGGGCAGTATGGTCACCCAGTAAGGAGCAGTAAGGTCTCCAGAATTAAAGGGGCAGTATGGTCACCCAGTAAGGAGCAGTATGGTCTCCAGAATTAAAGGGGCAGTATGGTCACCCAGTAAGGGGCAGTATGGTCTCCAGAATTAAAGGGGCAGTATGGTCACCCAGTAAGGAGCAGTAAGGTCTCCAGAATTAAAGGGGCAGTATGGTCACCCAGTAAGGAGCAGTATGGTCTCCAGAATTAAAGGGGCAGTACAGTCACCCAGTAAGGGGCAGTATGGTCCCCAGAATTAAAGGGGCAGTATGGTCACCCAGTAAGGTGCAGTACGGTCCCCAGAATTAAAGGGGCAGTATGGTCACCCAGTAAGGAGCAGTATGGTCTCCAGAATTAAAGGGGCAGTACAGTCACCCAGTAAGGGGCAGTATGGTCCCCAGAATTAAAGGGGCAGTATGGTCACCCAGTAAGGTGCAGTACGGTCCCCAGAATTAAAGGGGCAGTATGGTCCCCCAGTAAGGAGCAGTATGGTCCCCAGAATTAAGGGGGCAGTATGGTCCCCAGAATTAAGGGGGCAGTATGGTCACCCAGTAAGTAGCAGTATGGTCCCCAGAATTAAAGGGGCAGTATGGTTCCCAGAATTAAAGGGGCAGTATGGTCCCCCAGTAAGGGGCCATTGATGCAGGGTGTGGATGTAGCTGTTATGAAGTGGTGACAGGCCTGCAGTACCAGCCCCCAGGACCCATTGACAGTCAGTGTGCCCCAGGACCACTTACTGAGCTCGTAAGGCATGTTGTCCTGCTGCAGCAGAGTGTGTGTAGGTCCAATCAGTGCTCACAGTCTGTCTCCCTGTCTCTGCACTTCTTCTCCAAACCCGGAAGCCCAGACCCTGCGCTGGCGGCTGCGATGTCTCCCAGTGGCTATGACCATATATGGTCAACACTGAACGCTGCCTGTCTGCCGAGGCTCCAGCCTATATGTTCACTCCCCGGCTGCTTCGAGCGAGAGCGGCTCGCTCACTCTGTCACAGTGCTCAATGGGGATTGGCTGCCGCTGCGTGACGTCACCGGGGAGGGACCGCACCTCCCGCCGCCATCTTTACTACTGGCCAGACGTCAAAACATTGCGAGCTAATCGCTTTGAACTTCACAATTTTTATCGCTCATTGTTACATGTGTCTTGCATTCCCACTTAATAGCAGACTAATGACCAGCTTAAAGAATAAATAATAATAAAACTAAAAAAATTCTGTGGTATGCATTTTGCATTATTGTTGAAAAAAAAAAAAAATATATGTAATGTACTTCATGTAGGAGTAATGGCAAACTCCATTTGCAAATCTTTCTTCCTCTGTGTGAGTCAGAGCCAGATCCTTAAAATAGCTTCTTTTTTTCTTTTTTTGTTGCCGTCATACTGGTTATTTTAATAACAATAAGCGTTATGAATGCTATAATTAGGAATATGGGTGATATTTCACTGCACTTCCATTTGGGGGGTGAGGTTTGGTGGCTGTTTTCCACGTTTATTTCATTCATTCTGCATAAAGAAGGGCTTGCCCACAACAAAAATGGCGGCAGGTGCTTCAAGGAGTGTTCTCTGCCTGGGGTTCCAGCAGTTTTTTTGGGGGGGAGTGAGGGAGTAATTTGTGTTGGTCACGTGGCATGTGACTCTGAGGTTTTTAGGGACAGTTGGTGACACATTCTCTGTTTCATGTTATTCTGTATCTGTCATTAACCAAATGGGCTGAGTGATCTCATGGGTGCATGTAGAGAGCCCAGAATAATGTTATCACAGAGACAGTAACAATGTTACAATATTGGTAATACAACAAACACTGTGTCACTATGGACCTGGCTTAGCTTAGTGCTATGACAATGTTCCAGTATATGTATAAATAAATAGCATAATAATTATAATAATATGTAAAGGTTTGTATGTTTGAATCTGAGGTCATTTTTTTTTTTTTTTTTTTACCAAATTTGGTGATGATTTTCTAAGCAAGCCACAGGTACAGAAGTCAGACAATTTTACTATCAGTATCCACAAGATTTCTGCTGAGCTTTATTTATTTATTTATTTATTTTGTATGTAGATCCTTATTTGGCAGCATTTACTGACAGAAATGGCTAACACCAAACATTCGGTCATAGCAGTAAAACTCTACTTAAAGAGATTCTAACACACTTCAGTATTTTAAAAAGATAGAATCTTTATGAAATACTCATGTTGACTGTTGGAAATTCCTACTCGATATGAATGACAAAACATAATGAAAGGTGGAGCTCCCGCCATCAAGTTTTGTCATTACCCAGCAGCAGCTGCTTGCGTGAGCTGTCGAGAAAGGCATCTTTTTGCACACAGAATGAGATGTTCTATAGACGTTTCCATGATCAAGCTGATCTATCCAACCATAAATTAAAGACCCCTAATCCAAAGTCTAACACCATTCACAGCTTGATATATCCAAAAAAAGACATAAAGAAACAAAAAAACGATTTAGGGCAAGAAAACGTAAACACCAAAAAGAATACCCCCACTCTATCTGTACTGCGACTTTGGTAGTATTCTACCCAGCTTCCTTCTGCATTGTGGGCACCTTCTGCTAAACTTGATGAAATGAAAAACCGCAAATCAAAATGCCAGAAAGATTAATGGAAGACAGATCCAAGTCCTGTTTATTTATTATGATCAGAGAAAAACAGAACCACCAGGCATAAGAGGTCAGCCCTTTTACTCATGCCATACATGCTGGTAATCACAACTTCTCCTTTACTTTTCTCTCTCACTACAGTGGAACATGAACAACATCCATGACTGCCAAGCCTTGATCGATTCTGGAGTCAGTGGCTGTTTTTTGAAAAAAAGAGAAGAAGTCATATTGCCATAAACATACCACCTATTTAAGGATGTTTTTGACAAAAAAGAAGTTAAAATGTTTTCACCTGGAAGAGAATACAATTGTCTCATTGATACAAGGTCCTCCCATTCCTTTTGGTAAGATTTGTCCCATGCCGAAGAATGAACTATGGATATTGTAAGAATACATCCATGAAAATCTGGCAAAAGGATTAATTAGACTTTCCACCTCTCCTGCAGTGGCTGGTATTTTTTTTTAGCCTATAATCTCTGTGTGGAATATTGAGATCTCAACTAAATCACCATAAAAAGCAAGTGTCCACTCCCTCTCTTTTCTGAATTGTTTGAATGTCTTCAGAATGCTACCGGGGCCGGGGCTATCGCGGCTCCGCCACAACGAGGTTCCAACCTCCGGAACCCAGAGTGCCTTCACCATTCTTCCCGACCAGGGGCAGGTCGTGGCAACCCTGTGGAACCAGGGGATCCTCCTATGGCCATCGGCCTTATGGTGAGTTATTTTCCACACAACCTTTCTCTATCATATATGGGGGGCAGATTATCCCATTTTCTCAATGCATGGCACAAACTAACATCAGATGTTTGGGTCCTAGAGACCATTCTGGGTTAACACATAGAATTTGTACATCAACATAAAAGAGAAAGGTGCGGTTTACGAGGTTCCGGCTACCGCTACTGGTTTCCTAAGCAACATATTCCTGGTACCCAAGAAAGGTGGTGGTATGAGACTGGTAATCAGTCTTTGACCCCTCAACGCCTTTGTCACAAACCATCATTTCAAGTTAGAAGGGATACAAGCCTACGGGACTTCCTCAGACTGGGAGATTGGATGGTCAAACTCGATCTCCAGAACGATTGCGATCACCAAAGAGTGTCAACACCTCTTTCAGTTCCAATGGGAAAAGACTATGTGGTGCCTCTCGTTCAGCCTGTCATCAGCCCAGTGGTGTTTTACCAAGTTGCTGAAGCCGGTGGTCCTATGCAGCAGAGGTGTCCGTATGATCACATACCTCGACTACATGCTAATCGTGGCCCATGACACCTAGTTACTGAGTCAACATCTCTCCTGGGCACTGTCGTATAGGCCGCCATTCGTATAGACGAATGCCAGCCAGGGGGAGCATTCATACCCTGAAAGGAGATCCTTCCCTTGTCTGGGTTTCATACCAGGACCTCCCGAATGGATACTATTCGATCGAGGAACTGAGGTGAGGGTCCCTGAGATTGGTGTGGGCACTTTTGGGGCACTGGCATGTTTGGTGGGCTCTCATGAGCCTGAGGGATAAAGAGACCAGCTCTTTTCCCGTGGGCGGGCTTTTCTGTGCCAGGGAGACAAAAGGGACGGCCCCTTTTCCCACGCCTAGACTCCCAGGCACAGAGGCTCTTGGGAAGAAAACCCCTGGCGGTTGATGTGGGAAACCCTGTGTGTTTAGTGGCGGGCTTTGGGGACAAAGGGAGCAGCGTCCCTTCTCATTCTGGGGCCCCAGGGAGGGGGAGGATCTTGGGATGGGTCCTTGAATGTTTGTATGGTAAACCCCCTGCATGAGGTTATGCATAAAAGCCGTGTGTGGCCAATACAATTGTGTTGTACCTCCAGAACTGTGTGTCGTCCAGTTACTGGGGGGGATGAAAACAGGTCTCCTTATGCCCTAACTGGTTCCCAGCTGGTTGAAGGAAGGGAATTAGCAGAGGTAACCAGTCAGGTTACCCTAGGTCCGCTACAGTGGCCTACTAAAAAATTAGATGTAACCAGTTATGTGAGTTTCTGTATTATCTGTGCAAGATCAAAGTCTACAACCTCCAAAGCAGCAGACTCCTACAACCATTACCCATGCCATACAGACCTTGGAATCATCTTATAGTCGATTATATAGTTAACAGAAAAAATTTGCAGTAGATAAATTGGCACAAAAAATTAAGATAAAATATAAATAGGTTTGCAGCACCCACAATATACCCAGGTAATAAGGTACAGAAACAATCACAAAACAGAAAAGTGCTGGTGCGCATACATATGTATAGAACCCCTTAAGTGTTGAGAAGTATTTACAAACAGATGATACAGTGCAAGCAAGTGTGATCCCTTACAGGGTGTCTACAAGCCCAGGTGTATATGTGTGTATACTTATAGCCTGTTATACTGTACAATTGATATCTGTAATTAAGGAGACAAAAGTAGGGGGGGGGGAACAGAGAGAGCACTCCAAGTGCAATACAATTATTAAAATTATTAAAATTTAAACTAAGATAAACTGTCTCTTTAAGAATGCAACTCACAAATGTAGAGTGGTATGAGCCCCACTCTAAGCTATCTCGCCCAGGGAGGATCAGCCCCTTGGGTACGTGGGATCTGATAAATGCTCCTGCGACTCCAGTGTCAGGCAAAAAACATTTATTAAAAATAAAAACAACTGAAAAACAACAAAGGACTTTGTCCTGAGGAAGGTCCCTGTGTGGACCGAAACGTCGATTTGTTTATTTGATGAATTAAAGAAAAATTTTTTGAACTGGAAGTCCGTGAGTGCAGCTCAAACTTTGTTCGTGTGTATATATATATATATATATATATATATATATACATAAATATGTAATTACCTATAAATAGATTAAGTATGACAACTTAAAACATGGATATAGAATAACGCTTAAGTAAGCAAGGACAAATTGGTTTGAGGTACCAAAGTCCAAATTGAGAAAGGAAAAATGGCAACTAAAAAGCATAGAAATTAAAACATTCCTACTTGTTGCCCTGAACAAGAGTTAATCTTACATATGATAATAGCTGGTAATATAGCTGGTAATATTCCTGACATAAGTCAACAGCTCCACCTGCTGTTTGAAGCATATAGAAATATATGTCAAAATGACGTCAACAGCCATTAACATAAGACTTGCCCCAAGATTTCCATTGGACCAGG